TCGTGGTGGTGGCCGTGCCGGTCGTGGTGGTGGCCGTGCCGGTCGTGGTGGTGGCCGTGCCGGTCGTGGTGGTGGCCGTGCCGGTCGTGGTGGTGGCCGTGCCGGTCGTGGTCCTCGGGCCGGTGCTGCTGGTGATGGTGATGGTGATGGTGATGGTGGTGACCGTGGCGGTGTGAGGGGCACTGCCGCTGCTGCTGCGGCTGGTGATGGTGGTGGAGAGGCGGCGATGGGAAGGGTGGTGGAGGATGGTGCAGATTCGACGAGTCGTGTGGCGAGGCAAGGGGATGGGAAGATGGATAGGGAAGGTGGAATGGCAGGGGACGGTGGGATGGCAGGTGAAGGCCGGATGGTACAAGTGGTGGAAGGGGTGGGGGATAGCGCAGGACTGCTTTTAACTGCTGCTGTTGCACCAACTGTTACAGTTGCACCCCTTACTGGCGCTGCACCTGCTGTTACCGAGACCACTGCTGCCGCATCAGCAGGAGCCGAGTCACAAGGAGCGAAGCGGAGTACACAGCAAGGCGCACAGGCAGCCACACAGCTGGGCGAGGGCTGGACCGGGCAGCTGTACACATACAGAGACACAGGGGCAGACAGCGACAGGGACAGGGACAGCACGGGGTCACTCAGCACCGGGCCATCCGTCTCTGCATCCCTGGGACCATCTGCCTCTGTGCGCACGCGCACGTCGTCCTTCCAGCCGTCCTGCTCGTCGGCCGCCATGCGCCGCCTCTGGTCGCTGCACCGTGCCGTGGAAACCACGATTGACGACCCGGCGCTGGATGCTGCAGGCGTGGGGAGGGGGTTTGCAGGCCCTAATGGCTCAGCAGTGGCAGCAGCAGCAGCAGCCGCAGGGGGGGAAGCTGCAGGAGGAGGGTCGATGCAGCTGATTTCAGGACGATCAGGTGAAATCTCAGGAGGTGTAGGGAGTGCAGGGAGTGCAGGCACAAGGGCGTCTCTCCCTCCGGGTTCCAGCGCCCCTAGATTGGGGTCAGATGGCCGGCTGTACCGTCTGCGCAATGGTAGGCTGGAGCGCGTTGGGGCAGATAAAGAGATCTCGCCGGAAGCTGTTCGGGCAGCCCGGGAGAAGGTCCGGAGGGACATGAGGTGGGAGGCGGAGCGTGCAGCTGCTCGGCTGGGCAGGGTGCTGAAGATAGATGATAGTGGTGGCATTGACCCTTCTGAAAATGGCAGTGCGGGTGAGAAGGAGTACAGCATTGAATCAGATAAGGTGATGGCACAAGAAAGAGGAGCAGGGAATGATAAGGCTTTGGTGCAAGGGGGCGTGAAGAAAGAAAGCAGAGAGGAGCAGGAGGCTGGGAGTGTTCCTCAGGATGAGGAAGTATGCGGAGGTGGGTATGCTGGTGAAGAGAGCAGCATGGGTGGGCGGCATGGGAGTTGTGGAGGCGTGAGGGTGATGGCTGCGGCGGCACGGTCTGCTCAGCTTGAGGCGCCTCAAGAGGTGGCGGTGGCTACTGCTGCGCGATGTGCTCGAGTGATCTCGGTGCTGGAGGCAGCCCAGCTGCTGGCGGAGCAACGCACTCAACTCCGGGTGAGTTGACAACTCGCAGGTGACTTTAGAGTCGACTCAAAAGTGATCTCGGTGCTGGAGGCGGAGCAAAGGACCCAAATCTGGGTGAGTTGATTGCTCTCATTCTTAAAGCCATGAACTTGCATATTTATTGTTACATGCTCGTGTGTGTGTGTGTGTGTGTGTGTGTGTGTGTGTGTGTGTGTGTGTGTGTGTGTGTGCATGTTAGTGTGTGGAGGGAGAGAGGGAGAGAGGGAGAGAGGGAGAGAGGGGGAGAGGGGAGAGAGAGAGAGAGAGAGAGAGAGAGAGAGAGAGAGAGAGAGAGAGAGAGAGAGAGAGAGAGAGAGAGAGAGAGCATGAGTCCCTCTCCAGCTATATAAGCTCTCTCCCTCCCTCATTCTTCCTGTTTAGTTTCCAGTTCTTTCTTTTCTCCAACCCTTGGTGGCGAGAGAGAGGAGAGAGAGAGCGAGAGAGAGAGAGAGAGAGCATGAGTCCCTCTCCAGCTATATAAGCTCTCTCCCTCCCTCATTCTTCCTGTTTAGTTTCCAGTTCTTTCTTTTCTCCAACCCTTGGTGGCGAGAGAGAGGAGAGAGAGAGCGAGAGAGAGAGAGAGAGAGCATGAGTCCCTCTCCAGCTATATAAGCTCTCTCCCTCCCTCATTCTTCCTTTTTAGTTTCCAGTTCTTTCTTTTCTCCAACCCTTGGTGGCGAGAGAGAGGAGAGAGAGAGCGAGAGAGAGAGAGAGAGAGCATGAGTCCCTCTCCAGCTATATAAGCTCTCTCCCTCCCTCATTCTTCCTGTTTAGTTTCCAGTTCTTTCTTTTCTCCAACCCTTGGTGGCGGCTCGCGTCGGCGGCCTTCGGCCGCCGACGCTCGCAGCGCGGCCTTCGGCCGCGCGTGAGGGGCGGCAAGGACACAAGGCTACAAAGTCAACTACGACAACATCAAATACACGCATCCGGGGTCTACAACCCTCCAACGCTACATTTGGCAAACAGGCATGGAGAGCCTCACAGAGCTTACCAGAGCGCTCACGCTAGAGCGCACTTCACCAACCAGAACCTACACACGACGGCAGCCCATCATACGGCTTCGTCCGCTCCAGCCTCCTCAAGCAGGGCCCTCACATAGTCCCCCAGGAGCATCAGCGCTGACACGGCACCGCCAACGATGTCTACAGCTGCAGCCGAGTCTACGCTCGCCGATACTGTCCGCATCACGGCGAGCAGGCGCGGGTCCAACACGGTTCCCGAGGCGGGCACAGGCTGCACTCGCGTGGACACGACAGCCAGATCAGCTGCAGCCATCGCGCAGCGCTGGAGCGGATCGTGAGGCATCTTGCACGGGCTCACTGAGCTCCGTAGAACGGAGTGTGAGTCCGTCAGCATCTCCACAGCATACCCCATCGCCCTCTGCGCGTGCCAGAGCCGACGAAGCGTGGCGATTGGGATCGCAGTCTCCGCCAGCCGCTCCCTCCCCCGCAGGCGCTCCAGCTGCGCCCTCTGCGGCATCCGCAGCCCACCCGAGCGACGACGCCCCTGGTCCCCAGGAGGCGAGTCCTCTCCCGTGGACTCCGCTCCCCCCATCTCCGCTGCTTCTGCCCCCCCCTCAACTCCAGTCGGTGACGCCAGCGAACGGCGGGGGGGGACAAAGGGCGCTGTCGCCCGCTCGCCGAACGATGCCGGTGCCACCAACGGCGGTGGGCCACGGGACCATCCTGCCACCGACACATCCGGGGGCGTCGGCTGCCAGGGCGGCAGTATCTCCGCGGACCGCACGTCCATCCGACGCGGATCGAAGGGACCGGCCGAGGGGAGGACTGGCGGAGGGGGTGCGGAGGGAAGGGACGCCAAGAGGTGCTGGCTGTCAAGGAGCGGGAGAGATGTCACACTGCGGGGAGGGAATGGCGGCGTCGGTGCCTGAGGAAGGGGCAAACGCACGGGCGGCAAGTGCGCTTGCTGGTATTGCTGGGGCGCCAGAAGCTGCGGAGAATACGCCAGAGCCTGCTGGGGTTGGGCGACACTGCGGAACAAGCCCTCGAGAGTCGCCGCGGCCCGCCCTAGGCGCCTCTCCGCCGCGGACCCACGGTTACTCCCCCCGCCAGCCCTCCAGCCGACGCGCTGGCCCGATCGCCCGCGCGGCGCCTGCGGAGTCCGGCGCTGCTGCCCAGGCCCCGCCTGTGGGCGGCGCTGAGGCGTTCCTCGGCGGGCGGGATGCTGCTGGCGTGGTGACTGCTGCACCTCGCCACGCGCCACTGGTTCACGTCCAATCTCCACGGCGCGCTCGGGGGATTTCTCCTCGTGTCTCGGGGGCGCGGCAGTCCTGCCCCGCGACTGCCCCCGCATCCGCTCGGGAGTCTGTCGGCGAGCCGTCGAGGGGCCGAGGAGCCCGCGCTCCCAATCCCGGCTCGACGGCGCTGGAGGACTCGCCCGACCTTGGGGCGACTTGCTGTCCCCGGTACTCTCCAAATCGGCAGAACGCTCCCGCGCTGGTCGCTCCATCCCGGGGAGGCGCGCCGCACTCGGCACCCCCCACGACTCGGCACGAAAGCCGAACGACGACCAGGGCCGCCCCGAGAGGAAACCACGGAGGCGGACGCGGAAGACTCAACGCACGGACGGCCGGAGGGCGCGGTCGCGGGGCGGCAAGGCGTGGCAATCTGTCCTCCGATGGAGGACCACTGAACGGATTCCAGCAGGCGGCGAACAGGGCTTTAAGTGCCTCGGAACTGCAACGAACGACTGATGAGGAGGAACGGGCGGACGGAACCTATATACCAGGGAACCAGGGAGACCCCACGACTGAGACCTCCAGTGAGGCGGAACACGTCGAAGCAAACAGGCGCGCTGGAGGACGAGAGACTGACCCATCTCCAAGATCTAGGGGACGAGGGTCCAGCCGTTTGCACAATACTCGGGCACCGCTGGACACCCACCCCCAGGCAGCCCAGCAGTTGTCCCCGGAAGAACTGGCGAATGACCCCTCCAGATTCGCCGTCATCGCCACGTGGGACGTCGCAGTTCTCTGCGACAGTCGCCAACCCCCTCTCTCCCGCCGGTTACCCCCCCAAATCCGTCAACTTTTCGCGCTCACCCTCCTGACACCCCTCCTTTTCCTCGCCAAACATCCAACCTCCATCGAGGGTTGGACCCTGTTACTTTACCTCCCGCGCCTCACACTTCGCCTACCCTCGCCTCGACGCCCTGACTGGCCCGCGACGGAACGACGACTTCGACAATTTCTCGCGGGCCAGTGGGACACACTGTACCAAGCTGCTGCCTCGGCTGTCACCCTGCCACCCCCTCCCCGCCACGTACCTGACACTCTCGGGAAAATATCCCGCGCCGAGGGCTTGGTACGACGAGGCAGTTTGCGACGGGCACTGCTCGCGTTGACTTCGACCCCAGTCAGCAAGTCCACCCCCACGGTCCTGGACGCGCTGAAGTCAAAACACCCCCCTCCGCTTGTCGAAAGCCTCACCTGGCCACGGCTTGACGAAAACTGCAGGCCGCCGACAGTCGATTTCGCTACGTTCGCGAAGCTCCTCGCCCGCTCCGAAAATGGAGTTGGGGCAGGCCCCTCGGGGATGACCTTCGAGCACCTTCGCGACGCCTCGCTGTCCAACCCCGCCGTCGCCACAAACCTCCACAAGCTCGTCCAGCGGTTACTGGCGGGTAACCTGCCGCACGAGGTCAGCCAGCTCGTTACCTCCTCACGCCTCCTGGCCCTTACCAAGCCAGATGGGGGTACCCGCCCCATCGCAATAGGGGAGTGTCTCCATCGACTGGCGGCAAAAGCCGCGCTAATCTCCTCTACGCAATCCGCGCAAGACTACTTCCTACCACACCAATACGGGGTAGCCATCAGGAGCGGCGGGGAAACAATCATCCACGCCACCAGGGGTTTCACCTCTGCGCGCCCGGGCTCACTCATCCTACAAGTCGACCTCTCGAACGCCTTTAATAGCGTTGACCGTGGGGCAATCATCCACGCAATCAACACCTCGCCCCTCCGCCCGCTCCTTCCATTTATCCAATTCTCGTATGGCGCGCCGTCTCTGCTCTATCTCGACGCTGAGTTTGATAGCCCGCCCCTACTCAGCGCACGGGGAGTTCGCCAAGGGGATCCCATGGGCCCCCTCCTCTTCGCAGCAGCCATCCACCCAGCCCTCCAGGCAACCGCCGCGGCCCACCCCGAGGTCCTTTGCCTCGCATACGCTGACGACGTCACTTTCGTCGGCAACCCGGACGCCTGCACCTCGGCATTCCTCACCTTCACAGCCGCCATGGACCGCATCGGTCTCTCCCACAACCCCGCGAAATGCGCAGCATGGTCAGCCGAGCGCCCTGCACCCGACCGCCTTCCCCCAGACATACCTTTCAACACTGAAGGCGTCCGCGTGCTTGGCAGCTTTATAGGCACAACCGAGGGCACAGCCGCATTCCTCCGCACCCAGCTAGCCCTGCTAGCCGAACCCCTCGCCACACTGGCCACAATGGACCCTCAGTCCTCATCCCTCCTCCTCACACGCTGCGTGTCCCGGCGTGTCTCATACTTAACCCGCACCACCCCCCTTGACTTCCTACCCTTGGAAGTCTGGTCCGACTGGGGTAGGGAGCTCTTCCATACCCTCCTGCGTGCCTGCAACCTCCAACCGCCTCGAGGGGAGGTGGAGCAGGCGCGCACTTGGGCTCAAGCGTCCCTCCCTCCCTCCCTTGGAGGACTGGGTCTAACCGACCCCGCAATTGAGGGACACCCAGCCTACCTCACCAGCCTCACCCAAGCCCAGGGCCTCTTGGCTGCCCTCCCAGCAGCGTCAGGAGGGCCCCTGGCTGACGCTGTCCGGCACCTCACGCCACCTTTCACCAGCCCCACCCACTTGCATACCTGGCTGGCGAAGTGTGAAACGGCGATGCCCCCACGAGCCCGGGAGCTCCTGCACTCCGAGAGGAGGGAACCCTCCGGCTCCCCACTCCAACACCGCTTATCCCTCGAAGTCCAGGCCGTGCGATACGCCGGCCAGGTGGCAGCCACGCGGACAATGGACCCAAACCCACTCTCTGGGCACACCCAACGCCTCTTTTCCCTGGCTGGATATGGAGCAGGGGACTGGCTTCATGCCATCCCCATCTTCCCATCCCTCCGCCTCGAAGCTCCACACTTCGCCATTGCCCTGGCCTTCCGCCTCGGCCTTCCATTCCCAGCCCCCCGCACTTGCAACTGCGCCGAGGAATTTGAAATCCTCGACACTAGGCTGCCCAACCACCTGCTCCGGTGTGGCACCGGGCACGGTCGGACCGACACCCATAATGCCCTGCGGGACGAGAGCATACGGATGGCCCGGGACGCTGACTTTATAGTCACCAAGGAGACCACCATCTACAGCCCCGTAGACGGCCACAAGGCCGACCTCGCCCTCCGAGACCGCAGTTCCGGAGCCGTCTGGATCTGTGACGTCACTGTCACAGATCCCATCAGCAGCCGGGACCCGGATGCAAGAAAAGGACGCGGATACATGGCCCGGGAGCAAGCTGACAAGAAAATCTCCCATTACCGGAATCGGGCTCCGTATGTCGGATTTTTCCCACTTGCAGTCGAGACATACGGCTGCCCATGCGCCGAGGTCCCTACCTTCTTGAAGCTACTGGCTGACACAGGGGCCAGGAGACTTTTCAATGCGGACCCCAGCTCCTACCAGGCCGCAAAATTGCTCCACCAGTTTCGCCAACGCTGGTCAGTGACGCTGCAGCGGGCACAGGCCCTGGCTTACCTGGGGAAAGTTAATGAAGCCTCCCCTGCCCCCCACACCCCAGTGGGTACCCCTGACGCCGACATGGCACCCTGGGACTGCTTTGCCATAGCAGAGCCCCTAGGGGAGCTCGTGTAGTTTCGAGCCCCCAAACATGCACGTACCTTGCCCTGCTGCCCCTTGCCTGCCTTGCCTAGCCTGTACCCAGTTTTCCAAGCAATAAACGGACCGCTTGAGAGAGAGAGTAGAGCATTTTTCCAGAAAATTTTATTGCTGTGTTTTGTGTGCTCAGGAATACGAAGAGAAGATTTTGGCATCGTCACAAGGTGCATGCGATTCTAGAAAACCGCCAACGGCAAAGCCACCTCGTCACAATGGAGCAATGGTTCGAGAGGATTCAGCAGATGAGTTTGAGAACGACGATGATGCCTTGAGCTGTGACGATGACGATGATATTTGATAACGAAGTCGAAACATGCCTTTTTTATTCTGTTCATAACACCACGCAGTTCCTTAGCGGTGCATTCATGTTCGTCAGTGGGGCAGCTTTAGGCGCATGATGTACTGTTTTTCGGTGCGGTCGAGTAAGGACAACTCCCTCCAGTTGGCTTTCCTGTTGTCGCAGAAAAGCGCCACGGCGAATCCTGCCCGGGATGGTTCCGGCATGAGAGAGATCGTGCGACGATGCACTGTGCAGAACAGTGTTCGCCACTGGGGTGGTGCACTACAGTAGAGTACATGACAGGGCAGGCCCCGCGCGCCTCACGGTGGTGGTGCTCTGTGCTCTGCTGCTCTGCCGTGGCTGTGTGGGTTTCGTTTCGGTGGCCGCTTTTGTACTGTTCGCACAACCGAACTGCTCCACTCTCCCCACCACTGTACCCACCCAGCCACCGCCGCTCTACTGTACTCATCTCATTGGCTCTCTCAGATTGCTCGACACGAGTTGCCACAGTGACTCCTCATTCGGAGATTTTGTTGCCCGGCGAAGCCAGCAGACTGTTGCAGAGGAATTGCTCTGGCTCAGGGGCTCCATCCATCCACGCCACACTGCAGAACTGCACAGTAGCCCATATTCAATTAGTAGTTTCTGACTTCTTCCAGGCTTCTAAGAGGCTAGTAGGAGGGTCCCTAGCTCCAACGCCACGCCCTTCCCCGTTGAAAGGGGCCTAAGAAGAGGCAGCCACATCGCTGCACCACAAGATACTACTATCTCCAGTCGCGTTAATCTAGTATCGCGTACGAAGAACGCTCCGCGGCGGCCCGCGGCGCGGGTGATACACGGCGCGCGTGATTGGAACGGGACCCTCGCAAAGGGGTTCCGCGCACCTCGAGGCAAGGGGTCGGAGCAATTCCGCGCAGCAACGTAGTGGGGGGAGGCGGCGAAGCCGGGCGGAAATATCCTCTGCTTACACGCGCCGGCGGATGCTTACCCGCACGCTGCTGCTGCTGCGCAATAGAGGGGTTTTATCTGGGCGGATGGGCGGCGGCGGCGGCGGCAGGCGACATGCCGGCCGCCGGCAGCGGAATCGTCATCCTTGTGCGCCGGTCGGTCGGCCCGCTCTGTCCGCTGGAGCGCTGCTGATTGTCCTCCTCTGCACAGCGGCAATCGCGCCGTGCCTTGCGGTGTTAGGTAATAGGGCGATACGTTATGGTGGGGGCGTGGGGGACGTTAGCAAGGGGGTGAAAGGTTGGGGGGAGAGGAGGGGGGAGAGGAGGGGGGGATGGGCGATGGGGGAGTGTAACGTCTGCGGACGTTGAAACGCAGCCGCCTGCGACTCTAGACAAGACTCGTTTTGCCCAGTGGTTCTAAAGAAACTAACACAGCCTGGCAGGTGCACGTGCATGGGGGAACGTCAGGCTGTTGCGCGCACTCTTATCTCCACCCTTTCTCCTTCTTTCCTCCCCTCCCCCCCCCCCCCTTCATTCAGGCTGTACTGAGCTAGAGCGCGTGCATGTGCATGAGGATGGCCTGGCCAGACGTCAGCCGCCCCCCCCCCCAATGCGCCCTCCTCGCTCCCCCTTCCCCACCCTCCCTCTTCTCCCCCCCCACCTCCCCATTCAGGCTGTACTGAGCTAGAGCGCGTGCATGTGCATGTGGACGGCCAGACGTCAGGGTGCTGCGGCGATGCTAACAGCCCATGCGGTATGCGCCTTGTACCTTGTTTGTACCATGCATGTGCCTGCTAGCGCCAGTGCAGTACCATGCATGTGCCTGCTAGCGCCAGTGCAGTACCATGCATGCGGCACCACGCATGAGATACCATGCATGCGGTACCACGCATGCAGTACCATGCATGCGGTACCATGCACGCGGTACCATGCATGCGGTACCATGCACGCGGTACCATAAGCATGCGGTACCATGCATGCGGCACCATGCATGCGGTACCATGCATGCGGTACCATGCATGCGGTACCATAAGCATGCGGTACCATGCATGTGGCACCATGCATGCGGCACCATGCATGCGGTACCATGCATGCGGTACCATAAGCATGCGGTACCATGCACGCGGTACCATAAGCACGCGGTACCATGCATGCGGCACCATGCATGCGGTACCATAAGCATGCGGTACCATGCATGCGGCACCATGCATGCGGCACCTTGTCAATGCCCGGCGCTTTGTTGTTTTTTTTTTTTTTTTTTTTTTTTTTTAACTGCCTTTTTTCGCTGTATCACCCTTTGCTTCTGATGAAATTGCTCCCCTCTCACGTGTGCCTGGTTGTGTTGCTGTGTTGGCGTGCATGGGGTGTTGTTGCTGTGTGCATGGGGTGGGGTGTGGTTGCTGCATGCCTCGCGGTGCACCAGGGTCATTGCAGCTGGGGCTCTCAATGTGAGTGGCACATCTCTCATCACTCCTCTCGACCTCTACTCGCGCATCAGCTCCTTTCTTCTTTCCTCTCAAAGCCTTTTTCGTACTCCCCCAATATCATGCCTGCTCTCCTCGCCCATGCCTGCTCTCCTCCTCCATCTCTGCTTTCCTCCTTCATCTCTGCTCTCCTCCTTCATCTCTGCTCTCCTCCTTCATCTCTGCTCTCCTCCTTCATGTCTGCTCTCCTCCTTCATCTCTGCTCTCCTCCTTCATCTCTGCTCTCCTCCTTCATGTCTGCTCTCCTCCTTCATCTCTGCTCTCCTCCTTCATCTCTGCTCTCCTCCTTCATCTCTGCTCTCCTCCTTCATCTCTGCTCTCCTCCTTCATCTCTGCTCTCCTCCTTCATCTCTGCTCTCCTCCTTCATGTCTGCTCTCCTCCTTCATGTCTCCTCTCCTCCTTCATGTCTCCTCTCCTCCTTCATGTCTGCTCTCCTCCTTCATGTCTGCTCTCCTCCTTCATCTCTGCTCTCCTCCTTCATCTCTGCTCTCCTCCTTCATCTCTGCTCTCCTCCTTCATCTCTGCTCTCCTCCTTCATCTCTGCTCTCCTCCTTCATCTCTGCTCTCCTCCTTCATCTCTGCTCTCCTCCTTCATCTCTGCTCTCCTCCTTCATCTCTGCTCTCCTCCTTCATCTCTGCTCTCCTCCTTCATCTCTGCTCTCCTCCTTCATCTCTGCTCTCCTCCTTCATCTCTGCTCTCCTCCTTCATCTCTGCTCTCCTCCTTCATCTCTGCTCTCCTCCTTCATCTCTGCTCTCCTCCTTCATCTCTGCTCTCCTCCTTCATGTCTGCTCTCCTCCTTCATGTCTCCTCTCCTCCTTCATGTCTCCTCTCCTCCTTCATGTCTGCTCTCCTCCTTCATGTCTGCTCTCCTCCTTCATCTCTGCTCTCCTCCTTCATCTCTGCTCTCCTCCTTCATCTCTGCTCTCCTCCTTCATCTCTGCTCTCCTCCTTCATCTCTGCTCTCCTCCTTCATCTCTGCTCTCCTCCTTCATCTCTGCTCTCCTCCTTCATCTCTGCTCTCCCTCCTTCATCTCTGCTCTCCTCCTTCATCTCTGCTCTCCTCCTTCATCTCTGCTCTCCTCCTTCATCTCTGCTCTCCTCCTTCATCTCTGCTCTCCTCCTTCATGTCTGCTCTCCTCCTTCATCTCTGCTCTCCTCCTTCATCTCTGCTCTCCTCCTTCATCTCTGCTCTCCTCCTTCATCTCTGCTCTCCTGCTTCATCTCTGCTCTCCTCCTTCATCTCTGCTCTCCTCCTTCATCTCTGCTCTCCTCCTTCATCTCTGCTCTCCTCCTTCATCTCTGCTCTCCTCCTTCATCTCTGCTCTCCTCCTTCATTTCTGCTCTCCTCCTTCATCTCTGCTCTCCTCCTTCATCTCTGCTCTCCTCCTTCATCTCTGCTCTCCTCCTTCATCTCTGCTCTCCTGCTTCATCTCTGCTCTCCTCCTTCATCTCTGCTCTCCTCCTTCATCTCTGCTCTCCTCCTTCATTTCTGCTCTCCTCCTTCATCTCTGCTCTCCTCCTTCATCTCTGCTCTCCTCCTTCATCTCTGCTCTCCTCCTTCATCTCTGCTCTCCTCCTTCATCTCTGCTCTCCTCCTTCATCTCTGCTCTCCTCCTTCATCTCTGCTCGCCTCCTTCATCTCTGCTCTCCTCCTTCATCTCTGCTCTCCTCCTTCATCTCTGCTCTCCTCCTTCATCTCTGCTCTCCTCCTTCATCTCTGCTCTCCTCCTTCATGTCTGCTCTCCTCCTTCATGTCTGCTCTCCTCCTTCATCTCTGCTCTCCTCCTTCATCTCTGCTCTCCTCCTTCATGTCTGCTCTCCTCCTTCATGTCTGCTCTCCTCCTTCATCTCTGCTCTCCTCCTTCATCTCTGCTCTCCTCCTTCATCTCTGCTCTCCTCCTTCACCTCTGCTCTCCTCCTTCATCTCTGCTCTCCTCCTTCATCTCTGCTCTCCTCCTTCATCTCTGCTCTCCTCCTTCATCTCTGCTCTCCTCCTTCATCTCTGCTCTCCTCCTTCATCTCTGCTCTCCTCCTTCATCTCTGCTCTCCTCCTTCATCTCTGCTCTCCTCCTTCATCTCTGCTCTCCTCCTTCATCTCTGCTCTCCTCCTTCATCTCTGCTCTCCTCCTTCATCTCTGCTCTCCTCCTTCATCTCTGCTCTCCTCCTTCATCTCTGCTCTCCTCCTTCATCTCTGCTCTCCTCCTTCATCTCTGCTCTCCTCCTTCATCTCTGCTCTCCTCCTTCATCTCTGCTCTCCTCCTTCATCTCTGCTCTCCTCCTTCATCTCTGCTCTCCTCCTTCATCTCTGCTCTCCTCCTTCATCTCTGCTCTCCTCCTTCATCTCTGCTCTCCTCCTTCATCTCTGCTCTCCTCCTTCATCTCTGCTCTCCTCCTTCATCTCTGCTCTCCTCCCTTCATCTCTGCTCTCCTCCTTCATCTCTGCTCTCCTCCTTCATCTCTGCTCTCCTCCTTCATCTCTGCTCTCCTCCTTCATCTCTGCTCTCCTCCTTCATCTCTGCTCTCCTCCTTCATCTCTGCTCTCCTCCTTCATCTCTGCTCTCCTCCTTCATCTCTGCTCTCCTCCTTCATCTCTGCTCTCCTCCTTCATCTCTGCTCTCCTCCTTCATCTCTGCTCTCCTCCTTCATCTCTGCTCTCCTCCTTCATCTCTGCTCTCCTCCTTCATCTCTGCTCTCCTCCTTCATCTCTGCTCTCCTCCTTCCTCTCCTTCATCTCTGCTCTCCTCCTTCATCTCTGCTCTCCTCCTTCATCTCTGCTCTCCTCCTTCATCTCTGCTCTCCTCCTTCATCTCTGCTCTCCTCCTTCATCTCTGCTCTCCTCCTTCATCTCTGATCTCCTCCTTCATCTCTGATCTCCTCCTTCATCTCTGCTCTCCTCCTTCATCTCTGCTCTCCTCCTTCATCTCTGCTCTCCTCCTTCATCTCTGCTCTCCTCCTTCACCTCTGCTCTCCTCCTTCATCTCTGCTCTCCTCCTTCATCTCTGCTCTCCTCCTTCATCTCTGCTCTCCTCCTTCATCTCTGCTCTCCTCCTTCATCTCTGCTCTCCTCCTTCATCTCTGCTCTCCTCCTTCATCTCTGCTCTCCTGCTTCATGTCTGCTCTCCTCCTTCATCTCTGCTCTCCTCCTTCATCTCTGCTCTCCTCCTTCATCTCTGCTCTCCTGCCTTCATCTCTGCTCTCCTCCTTCATCTCTGCTCTCCTCCTTCATCTCTGCTCTCCTCCTTCATCTCTGCTCTCCTCCTTCATCTCTGCTCTCCTCCTTCATCTCTGCTCTCCTCCTTCATCTCTGCTCTCCTCCTTCATCTCTGCTCTCCTCCTTCATCTCTGCTCTCCTCCTTCATCTATGCTCTCCTCCTTCATCTATGCTCTCCTCCTTCATCTCTGCTCTCCTCCTTCATCTCTGCTCTCCTCCTTCATCTCTGCTCTCCTCCTTCATCTCTGCTCTCCTCCTTCACCTCTGCTCTCCTCCTTCATCTCTGCTCTCCTCCTTCATCTCTGCTCTCCTCCTTCATCTCTGCTCTCCTCCTTCATCTCTGCTCTCCTCCTTCATCTCTGCTCTCCTCCTTCATCTCTGCTCTCCTCCTTCATCTCTGCTCTCCTCCTTCATCTCTGCTCTCCTCCTTCATCTCTGCTCTCCTCCTTCATCTCTGCTCTCCTCCTTCATCTCTGCTCTCCTCCTTCATCTCTGCTCTCTTCCTTCATCTCTGCTCTCCTCCTTCATCTCTGATCTCCTCCTTCATCTCTGATCTCCTCCTTCATCTCTGCTCTCCTCCTTCATCTCTGCTCTCCTCCTTCATCTCTGCTCTCCTCCTTCATCTCTGCTCTCCTCCTTCACCTCTGCTCTCCTCCTTCACCTCTGCTCTCCTCCTTCATCTCTGCTCTCCTCCTTCATCTCTGCTCTCCTCCTTCATCTCTGCTCTCCTCCTTCATCTCTGCTCTCCTCCTTCATCTCTGCTCTCCTCCTTCATCTCTGCTCTCCTCCTTCATGTCTGCTCTCCTCCTTCATGTCTGCTCTCCTCCTTCATCTCTGCTCTCCTCCTTCATCTCTGCTCTCCTCCTTCATCTCTGCTCTCCTCCTTCATCTCTGCTCTCCTCCTTCATCTCTGCTCTCCTCCTTCATCTCTGCTCTCCTCCTTCATCTCTGCTCTCCTCCTTCATCTCTGCTCTCCTCCTTCATCTCTGCTCTCCTCCTTCATCTCTGCTCTCCTCCTTCATCTATGCTCTCCTCCTTCATCTATGCTCTCCTCCTTCATCTCTGCTCTCCTCCTTCATCTCTGCTCTCCTCCTTCATCTCTGCTCTCCTCCTTCATCTCTGCTCTCCTCCTTCACCTCTGCTCTCCTCCTTCATCTCTGCCTCTCCTCCTTCATCTCTGCTCTCCTCCTTCATCTCTGCTCTCCTCCTTCATCTCTGCTCTCCTCCTTCATCTCTGCTCTCCTCCTTCATCTCTGCTCTCCTCCTTCATCTCTGCTCTCCTCCTTCATCTCTGCTCTCCTCCTTCATCTCTGCTCTCCTCCTTCATCTCTGCTCTCCTCCTTCATCTCTGCTCTCTTCCTTCATCTCTGCTCTCCTCCTTCATCTCTGCTCTCCTCCTTCATCTCTGCCTTCTTCCTCCCTTCATCTCTGCTCTCCTCCTTCATCTCTGCTCTCCCTCCTTCATCTCTGCTCTCCTCCTTCATCTCTGCTCTCCTCCTTCATCTCTGCTCTCCTCCTTCATCTCTGCTCTCCTCCTTCATCTCTGCTCTCCTCCTTCATCTCTGCTCTCCTCCTTCATCTCTGCTCTCCTCCTTCATCTCTGCTCTCCTCCTTCATCTCTGCTCTCCTCCTTCATCTCTGCTCTCCTCCCTTCCATCTCTGCTCTCCTCCTTCATCTCTGCTCTCCTCCTTCATCTCTGCTCTCCTCCTTCATCTCTGCTCTCCTCCTTCATCTCTGCTCTCCTCCTTCATCTCTGCTCTCCTCCTTCATCTCTGCTCTCCTCCTTCATCTCTGCTCTCCTCCTTCATCTCTGCTCTCCTCCTTCATCTCTGCTCTCCTCCTTCATCTCTGCTCTCCTCCTTCATCTCTGCTCTCCTCCTTCATCTCTGCTCTCCTCCTTCATCTCTGCTCTCCTCCTTCATCTCTGCTCTCCTCCTTCATCTCTGCTCTCCTCCTTCATCTCTGCTCTCCTCCTTCATCTCTGCTCTCCTCCTTCATCTCTGCTCTCCTCCTTCATCTCTGCTCTCCTCCTTCATCTCTGCTCTCCTCCTTCATCTCTGCTCTCCTCCTTCATCTCTGCTCTCCTCCTTCATCTCTGCTCTCCTCCTTCATCTCTGCTCTCCTCCTTCATCTCTGCTCTCCTCCTTCATCTCTGCTCTCCTCCTTCATCTCTGCTCTCCTCCTTCATCTCTGCTCTCCTCCTTCATCTCTGCTCTCCTCCTTCATCTCTGCTCTCCTCCTTCATCTCTGCTCTCCTCCTTCATCTCTGCTCTCCTCCTTCATCTCTGCTCTCCTCCTTCATCTCTGCTCTCCTCCTTCATCTCTGCTCTCCTCCTTCATCTCTGCTCTCCTCCTTCATCTCTGCTCACCGTGCTCCCCTCCCTGCTGCCGCTCAGCTCAAAGCGTCACCCGCATGTCTCACCACCTCAATGCTCTCCGTCGCCCCCATTCCTCCTTCCTCCTCCCCCATCCCCCATCCCCCATCTCCCCCCAGGCTCCCCCCATCAGGCGGCTCCCTCCTGCTGTCGCCGGGCACCCACCGCCCTCCCTCTGCTGGCCTGCCTCTCGGTGGCCGATCCATCTCAATCCTCGCTGCTCCTCCTCCTCCTTCCTCCACTTCCCCTTCTACTCCTCCTCCCACCATCCCAACCATTGACTGCACGGGGGAGCGTGTCTCACAGCCGTCTGCGTTCCAGCCACTGCCGTGCTGCCATGTGGCACCGCGCAACTGGTCCTTGCAGGGATAGCCATGCAGAACGGCCGGATAGGCGCGCCACGTGGCGGCTGCCTGTTGGTCGAGAACCAGGCCGTCCACGTCAGCAACAGCACCTTCTCTGGCTGCTCAGCAGTGAATTACGGCGGCGCGATTTCCGTCTCCAACGCGCCAGATGTCACGCTTACAGGCGTCCATGTCAGCACCTCATCCGTCTCCTCGCTCTTAGGAGGCGGTGGGGGCGTGGCTCTAAGAAATGTGACTGCAGCGAGTATGGCTGAGTGCTGGTTCAAGGGGTGTGCAGCAAAGGCCAGCACTGGGGGAGGTGTCTTCTGTGAGGGGGGTGGGTTGGAGGTGCGGGGAGGGGGCTTCAACGACTGCAGTGCTGACATCTCAGGGGGCGGTTTATCCACCACCAAGTGCACAGGGCGCATCGACGGGGTTCAGTTCTCCAACAGTCAGGTTGGTGCGGTGGTGGTGCGGGTGTGGTGCGCGTGGTGCGGATGGGACGGTTATCTGTCTGTGGGACTGCTGACGGGTTTCGACGACTGTTCAGTTCTCCACGAGAGAGGTCGGTTGGTGCGGTGGTCGTGGGCATGGGAGGGTGGGGGTGGTGATGGTTGTTTTCGCCCACCCTCTCTCCATTTCTCCCTGGCCCGTCCACCCTCATTCCTCCTTCCTACCCTCCCTCCCTCCTTCCCTGTCCCCCCCTCAGGCCACAGTGGGTGGGTGCATGGCTGACAACGCCTCTCCCTCCCTCACCGTCTCCTCCTCCTCCTTCCACTCATGCATCGCCACCAACCCTCTTCTCGACCCCTTCTCGAACTTCATGCACGGGGCATCAATCTACGCCAACTACACCGCCACCCTCACCGTCTCCCTCTCCCACTTCACCAACGGATCCGGGACCACGGGGGGGGCGGGATCATGGGAATGGGCGTCGGAAACCTCACGGTTACCACCAGCGAGTTTCACAACAACCGCGCGTCGAGCCCGCAGGGCGGGGGAGGGGCGGGGATGGAGGCACGGGACTCCAATATCACGATCCAGAGCTCCCGGTTCTTCAACAACTCGGCGGATTCCCCCATGATGGCCCTCGGGGGGGCTGTGTACATAATGGACTGCCCGGGGATCATCTCCAACTGCTCCTTCATAGGGAATGAGGCGACACACAGCACGGAGTCGGCCACGGCGCAGGGAGGGGCGCTGCTCCAGGCATGGGGGCACATGGGCCCGGCGACGCAGCTGGTGCTGGAGGACTGTGTGTTTGAGGGCAACCGCGCCATGTTCGGCGGGGCGGCTACCTTTGAGAGTGATGCTGTGGTCAGGAGAACGAGGTTTCTCCGCAACACGGCTTCGTTCAGACTTGCTGGTGCTGGTACGAGACATTGCTTGAATTGGTATGGCATTCAGTACCAGGCTAGGTGCCAGGTTAGGTGCCAGGTTAGGTGCCCGATTAGGTGCCAGGTTAGGTACCATGCCAATCCTCCCACTCCCCCACCCCCGTCCCCCATCCCCATCCCCATCCCCATCCCCATCCCCATCCCCATCCCCATCCCCGTCCCCATCCCCATCCCCGTCCCCATCCCCGTCCCCATCCCCATCCCCCTCCCCATCCCCATCCCCATCCCCATCCCCATCCCCATCCCCGTCCCGCAGTGATCTTCTACCGTGGGGCCACGGTGGACGACTGTGAGTTCAACGGCAACTCCGTGCTGCACAACGGGGGGGCGATAGCCACAGGGGGGCTCGGAGTCACCAACATCACCCGCACGGCGTTTGTCAACAACGTTGCCCACGCGGGGGACGGGGGGGCGGTGTTTGTGGACGAGGTAGGTAGGATGTGGGGAGAGACGGGGAAGGGGGGGGGAGCGGGGGGGCGAAGTGGGGGGAGAGGAGGGGAGGGGTATCACCCGCACCACCCGATTTTTGAGTCGACTCAAAAGAGTCGATTTTTTAGTCGACTCAAAAATCGACTCATTACACATGAGTCGAATAAAAAATCGACTCATTACACATGATTCGACTAAAAAATCGACTCATTACACATGAGTCGACTCAAAATCGACTCATTACACACGGGGAGGGGTATCACCCGCACCACCCGCACGGTGTTTGTCAACAACGCCGCCCACGCGGGGGACGGGGGGGCGGTGTTTGTGGACGAGGTAGGATGGGGGGAAGTAGAGGGAGACTGCACGGCTTTTGTCAGCAACGTTTCCCATGCGGGGGACGGGGAGCCGGTGTTCGTGGACGAGGTAGGATGGGGGGAAAGGGAATGGGAACCCCCCCATCTCCAACCCACCATCTCCACCCTCCCCTATGACAGGGCACCGCGGGCAAGGTCCTCACATCCGACGCTCTCTTTCTCAACAACGCTTGAGTCGACTCTAAGATCACCGCATAAACCCTTTCTTCGAACCTGGAAACCCCCCATCTCAAATCACCTGTGGCATGGCAGGGCGCCGCGGGCACCGTCCTGATGTCCGACTCTCTCTTTCTCAACAACTCCGCCCTGCTCTCTAAAGGAGGGGCGGTTTCCTTTTCCGGCAATGTACTCGCTATAGACAACTCCGCCTTCCTGAACAACTCCGCTCTTGTCAAGGGCGGTGCAATAGCAGGTGAGAGAACTATGAGATTGTAGGAAAGGGAGCCGGTGCCCCTTTACCGATACGGCGATACCCCTCGCGGGCTTTCCCCGTGCACCCCCACACGGGCTTTCAGCACACAGTCTTCAGACGGCAGACAGCATACGGCAGACCTCAGACGGTAGACGGAAGACGGACGGCGGTAGACGGATGACGGACCACGGTAGACGGACGACAGTAGACGGACGACGGTTGGACGACGAACGACGGACGATGGTGGGGGGGGGGGGGGAGGGGGGGGGTTTGGAGGTCAATGGGCTTGAGGGGCAGTGGGCGGGCTTCCCAGCGCACCCCCTCATGGGCTTTCTCCTCCATTATCTCCCTCCACCACCCCTCCACCACCCCTCCACCACCCCTCTATGGCATACCCTCCACTCCTCTCCTCCTTTCATGCATGGTCTTGTAGCTGCCCGTCCCTTTTTCCTCTTATACCTCCCCGGCCGAAGGTGCCTGCCCTTTTCCCCATCAGTTCAAGCTGCTTATACAGCAGCAGGGGCGAGCCTCCCCTGGCGCGTGTCCCTCTCCCACACGCGCTTCCGCTCCAATCGAGCCAGGCTGGGCGGCGAGGCGCTCTCCGTCTCCTCTCAAGCTGCAGTCAGTGCAGCGACTGCACTCTCCCCCACGTTGGGGCCAGCACGTTATCATCAGCGCAGGGATGCTCATTCGTTCCACCCTCCACCCTCCCCTCCTTCCCTCCCCCCTGCCCTTTTCCCCATCAGTTCAAGCTGCTTATACAGCAGCAGGGGCGAGCCCCCCCTGGCGCGTGTCCCTCTCCCACACCCGCTTCCGCTCCAATCAAGCCGATCTGGCTGGCGGCACGCTCTCCGTCTCCTCTCAAGCCGCAGTCAGTGCGGTCAACTGCAGCCTCCTCCACAGCACGGCCAGCAGCGGCGGTGCGATCATCATGGAGGACTTTGGACGGCTCAGATTGCACCGCTCCGAGTGCTCTTACAACCAGGCGCCGTCCGGGGGAGGCTGCATCTCCCTGGGTGACTTCTCCACTGCTACTGTCACCTCGTGTAACATCACATTCAACGGCGGGGGCAACGAGGGGGGAGCACTGCGAATGACGGGGCAGACGCTCCTCTCCCTCTCCACCTCCCTCCTTGCCAACAACTCCGCCCTGGACGGTGGCGCCCTGTGGACGGAAATGGACGCCCGGGTGCAAATGACCGACACCGTTGTGGCGGGCAACACCGCCAAGGTGCAGGGGGGGGGCGTCTACTGCATCCACAAGTCCAACCTCTCGGTTTCAGACTCGCAGTTTGTGGAGAACCGGGCGCTGGTGGGCGGGGGGCTGCTGGCGGAGGGCGAAGTGGCGGTGTGGGTGGCGGGGCGGTCGGGGTTTGAGCGCAACGAGCAGCACGCCGTGGTGCTGCTGGGGCAGACGCGCGCCCGCTTCCAAGACACCAGCTTCCGGGGGAATGCCGCCGTGGGGGATTCGAGAGACGGAGGCGCGATCTCGGTGTCGGACGTGGCGGTGGTGGCGGTGGTGGGGGGGTGCTGATGGAGAGGAACCGGGCGAGGCGAGGCGGGGCGATCTTTGCCGATGCTGGCAGCACACTCATGCTCTCCGATGGGCTGATGAGAGGAGCAGGGGGGAAAGCAGCGGGAGGAGCAGCGGGAGGAGCAGCGGGAGGAACACGGGGAGCAGCAGTGGGAGCAGCAGTGGGAGCAGCGCCATCCTCGTTACAAGCCGGTAAGCCGCGAATCGTAAGGAATCGGGCCGTGCAGCAGGGAGGCGGGGTGTTTGTGGCGGGCAACGCCAGCATCACCGTCGCAGGCGCCACGTTTGTGGGCAACAAGGCTGGGGGGTCGGGGGCAGGCGTGGCGGTGCTGGAGCAGGCTCACGGCTCTCTGAGGGGATGCGAGTTCAAGCGGAACGAGGGAGGGGCGGAGGGGGCAGGGGTGTATATCAACCGAGGGGGGACAGCGGGTGGGGAGGCGGGTGGAGGTGTGGGTGCTGCTGGGTCTGTGGATTTGAGCGGGTTTCTGCCGCCTGGTGCTGCTGGTGGCAGCAGCAACGCTGGCGCCAGCAACGGCACTGCGGTTGCGGCTGCTGATGCTGGCACAGCGTTCGGAGTTGCCATGGCACCACCATCATCACCATCAGCACCAGCACCATCATCAACAGCAGCAGAAGCAGCAGCAGCAGCAGCAGCAGCAGCAGCAGCAGCAGCAGGGGCGGGGTTGCTGCCTCTGACCGTGTCTCTCCTGTCCTTCCAGGGTAACACGGCTCCCAAAAGGCTCAGGCTGGGCTCGGCTTTCTTCGACGCCACGTTCGATCCGTCCATGCGCTCGAGCTGCGACAGATGCCGGCGGAAAGACCCCAGAGACACCATGGGATCTCCCCCGACCACTTTTAAAATGCAGTGAGTGGTAAACCCTTGTAAATCCCAACCACAGCACCCGCTGTGAGGTTCTGCTTTCTTTGACGCCATGTTTGACCCGCCCCCCCACTACCCTTAGGGTCGGTGCAATGAGTGAGCGGCGAGTGTGTGGGTGTGTGCCCCCTCTCGTCATCAGCCCCACCTCTGTCTCCCATACCCCTCCCGGATCTCCCTCCCTCTCTCTCTCCCCCTCAGCTGGCCGGGCGCGGAGCAGCAGGACGCCGGGGGGATGACAGTGTACCGAGTGCGGGGAGACATGGCCAACCCGGTGGCTGGGCTGCAGATCACCGTGCTCGATGCTGCCGGGCTCGTCGCTTCCAATGTGAGTCAACCGCTAGGTCTGCAGGTCAGAAAAACAGCATTAGCCTGATTGTTCCCTTATCCCCCCCCTATCATTCCCCTCTCACCCCCCCTCTCACCCCCCCTCTCACCCCCCCTCTCACCCCCCCTCTCACCCCCCCTCTCACCCCCCCTCTCACCCCTCACCCCATCAGGAACTTGGCTCTGGTGGAGGTGGTTCCCAGTCCGTTCATCTCTGGTGGGCTGAGAGCTACAGCCATGGCGAGCAGTCCGTTTATTTATCATCTCTCTCCCTCTCTTCCCCCTCACCCCATCTGCACAACTCGGCACTAGTGGAGGTGGTTCCTGTTAGACTATTCTCCCTTCATTCTATTAGCCTACATCGTTTCATTGTCTTAGGAACTTATAAGCACCCCACTAGGGTGTATACACCCAAGTTGGGGGTTGGGTTCCCAACCTTGTTGGGTTCCCAAATTGGTTGGGCTCCCAATTATTGGAACCCCCAATAATCCCAACCAAGATTATTGGACCCACCAATAATCTTGGCTAGGATTATTGGACCCCCAAAAAGTTGGCCAACTCAACTTATTGGGGTCACCAATAATCGTGGTCACCTCCCAACCAAAACCCCCCCCCCCCTCCCTCCTACTCCTCACCTATGTATACCCACTCCTTTCCTAATACAATCATCACTTCAGATTCTCACATGGTTTCAGAGCTTATGGCTCACGCCTCTCCGTCGTTCGATCCCTAGCCACCTCGCGCCCAACGCGCCCCTCCCCGCGCCCTTAAGCGCCCCTCTCCGCGCCTTTAAGCGCCCCTCCCCGCGCCCTTCAGCGTCCTTCTCTGCGCCTTTAGGCGCCACTCCCCGCGCCCATAAGCGCCCCTCCCCGCGCCCATAAGGGCCCCTCCCCGCGCCCACAAGCGCCCCTCCCCGCGCCCTTAAGCGCCTCTCCTCGCGCCCTTAAGCGCTGCATTTTCGCGCGCCGCTCCGGCCGCATTTCGACGCGGTGCTCGGCCGCATTTCAGCGCGGCGCTCGGCCGCATTTCGGCGCGGCGCTCCGGCCGCATTTCGACGCGGCGCTCGGCCGCATTTCGGCGCGGCGCTTCTGCCGCATTTCGACGCGGCGCTCGGCCGCATTTCGGCGCGGCGCTCCTGCCGCATTTCGGCCCGGCGCTCGGCCGCATTTCGGCGCGACGCTCGGCCGCATTTCGGCGCGGCGCTCGGCCGCATTTCGGCGCGGCGCTCGGCCGCATTTCGGCGTGGCGCTCGGCCGCATTTCGGCGCAGCGCTCGGCCGCATTTCGGCGCGGCGCCCGGCCGCATTTCGGTGCGGCGCTCGGCCGCATTTCGGCGCGGCGCCCGGCCGCATTTCGGCGCGGCGCTCGTCTGCATTTCGGCGTCCGGTCCTCACCATCTGCGCCGGCCGTCGCCTTTCGCATCGGCGCCCGAAGAAGGCTTCGCGTCGCGCAGCTTACGGCTCCGCCAGTCTCCTCCGCCAGTCTCCTCCAACGGCTCATGCTGCCCAAGCAAAAGGAGGACGTGGTGCTGGCCGTGGCGGTACTTCGGCGGGACGATCGGGTGGTGGACGTGGCGGGGGGCGCAGTGGAGGACGCGGGGGTAGCAGTGGTTCCAACAGCACCGGCGGCTTCTCCCCGTGTCAGTATCTCATCCGCAACGGCCCCAACAAGGGTAAGCGCTGCCTCCAAACCACCCATGCCACCACCACATGTTTCAAGGCCCTCACTGATGAGTGGCTTGATCGAGGCAACACGGGCACGCCCCCTCGCTGGTCCGCTATCACTCCACCTCCCACTCCCTTTGATGTTCGTACCCTCCCCGCCTATCAGCCCTCCTCTACCTCTCTCCACCACATCCTTGCACAGCACCTCCCTCCACAGATCCTCCAGCAGGTCACGCCCCTCCTTCCGTCCCCACAGCCGCAGCAGACTCAGCAGCCGCAGCAGAACCAGCAGCCGCAGCAGAACCAGCAGCCGCAGCAGTCCCAGCAGCAGCCGCAGCAGCTCCTGCAGCAGCTCCTCCAGCAGCTGCAACAGTCTCAGCAGCACCAGCAGTCTCAGCAGCAGCCCTCCCCTCCCTCCGCCTGGAGCTCTGGCCTGTCTGCTCCTGCTCCTCCTGCGCAGGCCCCCACCGGACCTCCTGGCTTTACCCCATTTCCCTCACCTGGCTTCATCAACCATGTTAGCCATGCCTCTCCTGCTATTCCTCCAATGTATCCCGAGTCTATTAATGAAACCTCCTTCCAGTACTCCGTGTCTCACCTCACCCCTCCTTCCATTGAGTTTGTCATTGACAGTGGCGCCAGTGTCACAGTCCTTCGTGATGCTGGTGCCCTCACCCCCCTCCCTAACCCCTCCACCATCATTGGAGCCGATTCTACTTTCTCGGTCACCTCCCGCCATACCTCCACCCTTCCCTGCCCCCTCTTCCCCTCAGGTTCAGTAACTGGCTTCCATGTCCCCTCCCTTCGCACTAACCTCGTCTCCCAAGGTGCACTTCAACGGGCCGGGGTCACAACAATCTACCCCGGCCACGCCACCCACTGCGACTTGTTTCACTCATCCACGGGCCATTTCATCGTCCGTGTTCCCATGTGTCCTCGCACTCGCATGTACACCCTTCACACTCCCCGTCCGTCAGCCTGTCACACTGCCTCCACCATCCCTCCCCTCCCCCCTCCCCTCTTTCCTCCGCAACCTCCCTCCACCTCCCCTCCCGCCCCTCCTGCTCCCCCCCCATCTCAGTGCCACTGTCGTGATCTTACACATCCTGCCATCCTCCTCCACCACCGCCTAGGTCACCCCAACTTTGCCACCCTCCACAAGGCCGTCGCCTCCGGGCTCCTCAATGGCCTTCCCCTCACTCTCCCCCCACTCCCTCCCTCCCCCGCCCCACCTTGCACCATCTGTGTCCAAAGCAAGCTCAAGCAGCTTTCTCATAAAAGTCACCCTTCTTGCGTCCCAGAGCTCCTGGATCTTGTCCACATGGATCTCTGGGGCCCCAACCCCTCCCCCACCCGTCAAGGGCACCGCTACCTCCTCGTCCTAGTCGATGACCGCTCACGATACACCTCGGTCTCCCTCCTTCGCACGAAGGCCGAAGCATCGGCCTTTATCATCGCCTGGGCCGAGCAGGCGCGCACCCACTTCGGTCGTCCCGTTCGCCGCTTCCATTCCGATGGCGGCGGTGAATTCCTCAATCACCATCTCTCTTCCTATTTCTCCACCCATGGTATTCACCACACTTACACCCTCCCTCACTCCCCTCAGCAGAATGGCGTGGCAGAAGCTCGTGTTCGAGAAGTTACAAAGACCGCCAGGTGTCTTCTCGTTCACGCCTCCTGCCCGCCTTCTCTCTGGGGTTATGCTCTTCTCCACGCCGTCCTCCTCACTAACCTGTATCCCCACCCTCTCCTCCCCTCCACCACCCCCACCGAGCTGTGGACGTCAACTAAACCCGACGTCTCCCCCCTGCGCGTCTGGGGTTCCAGGGCGTATGTTCTCATACACCCAGCCGACCGCTCACGCACAGCAGGGAAGCTCGCCTCCAAGAGTCTACCCTGTGTATTCCTTGGTCACAACACCTCCTCCCCTGACTACCTCTTCCTTCATCCCCCCTCAGGTCGCCTCATTCGTAGTCGGGACGTCATCTTTGACGAATCCTCCCCGTACTACACCTCTCCTGCCTCACCTGACCCACTCACCATTCCTCCTCGTCCCTTTATCCCCTCTGACACTGTCACCCCCCCCTCCCCCCCCCTCTCCCTCTTATTCCCCCACCCCCAGCACCTCCTCCTCCCGAATCTGCTCCCTCCTCATCTTCCTCAGGTGACATCCTTGACCCAGTACTCCCCCCCTCTCCCTCTCACTCCGCTTCCGCTCCATCCTCCCCCTTCTCCCCACCTCCCCCCCCTCCACCTCCTTCCCCCCTCCTCCCCCACCTCCCCCACCTCCTCCTCCACCCCCCCAGGTGTCTTCTCCCCTTGTCCTTCGCCACCGCCCTCATACTCGGTCCATGGATCCCCTCTTTGGTCCGCCCTTAGCCCCTCCCTCCCCTCAGGCAAAGGCACCCGCTCCAGCACCCTCTGCTTCCACCTCCGCACCCGCCGCAGCAGCTCCCGCCGCCCCACCAGTGCCTGCCCCGGTCGCCGCACCCGCAGCGTCAGGATCCGCCGCAGCAGTTGCCCCGGTCAAGCAGCCGTGCAGCCGAGTCGCAGAGTCGCAGTATCGCAGCCTCCCCCCTCAGCAGCGCAGCAGACTTGCAACACCACCCTCCCTTCCTCCTCCTTTCTCTCCCCTCCTCATCGAAGACTCCCATGGTGAATTTCTTCGCCTCCACCTCTTCTCCAACACCCAAGCAGTCGCCTTCAGCATGACCGGCGCTCCGGTACTGGTCTTCTCCGGTGCGCCCATCATCTTCGAGCCGGGAGATTATCACGAAGCTATGACATGCCCCGACCACCCTCATTGGGGCAAGGCAGTCCTCAAAGAGAACGAGGCCTTTGTCCGCAACGGCACCTTCATCGACGTACCCCGCCCTCTCAACCACAACGTGGTCAAAGGCAAATGGGTATTTCGGGTCAAGCTCCTCCCTGGCGACGACCCGGTCTATAAGGCCCGCTACTGCGCCAAAGGATTTACGCAGCGGTACGGCCATGACTTCCTTGACACGTACTCGCCGACCGCCACTCCCCCTGTCGTCCGCGTGTTCTTGGACTTCGTTGGCCGGCGCGGCATGATCCTGCACTCGATGGATGTCACCACGGCATTTCTCCAAGGTGAACTCCATGAGCGCATCTTCATGGAGCGTCCCGAGGGCTGGCACCTCCCTTTCCCTCCCAACACCGTTTGGGAACTTCGCCGCCCGGTCTACGGCCTCAAGCAAGCTCCTCGGGAATGGCATGCCAAGCTCTCGAGCACTCTCCGTGCTCTTGGTTTTCGCCCTTCCCAGGCTTCCTCCTGCCTCTTCCTGCGCACCTCCCCCTCCCCCTTCTATATCCTCGTCTACGTCGACGACATGCTTCTTGCTGCTGACAACGAAGCAGACCTACAACAGGTCAAGGATGAGCTGCAGAAGCGCCTCCTCTGCAAGGACCTGGGGGAGGTCCGCAACTACCTCGGGATGGAGATTTCTCGCGATCGTACGGCCAGGACCATCTCCCTCTCTCAGGCATTCTACCTCGAGAAGGTCCTTGGAACGCTTCGAGATGGCCACGGCCAAACCCGTCTCCACACCCCTCCAAGTCGGCCACCAGCTCTCGCCGACAACCACCCGCGGTTCCTCCACCAGTCCTTACGCTGAGCTAGTCGGGTCCCTGATGTACGCCATGATGTGCACTCGCCCCGACCTCGCCTACCCTATCAGTGTCCTGGCGTGCTTTGTCGGCGCTGGCAAACACACTCCCGAGCACTGGCAAGCGGCCAAGCGCGTTCTCCGCTACATCAAAGGCACCAAGGACTATGTCCTCACCTTGGGCGGCCCCACCCCTCCTCAGCTCACTGGCTACAGCGACTCCTCTTGGGCAGATTCTCAGCCCGATCGTCGCAGCTCACAGGGGTATGGTTTCTCCCTCGGGAGCGGCCTCATTTCCTGGCGCTCCACCCGCTCCTCCTCGATCGCTCTCTCCTCCTGCGAAGCAGAGCTCTACGCCATCACCATGGCGGCCCAGGAGGCGCGGTGGCTCAGCTTCCTCCTCGCTGAGCTGGATGCTCCCCAGCCCTGTCCCACCATCTGGTGCGACAATGCCAGTACTATCCACCTCACAAAGGAAGCCGTTTTCCATGGTCGCTCCAAACACATCGAGCTCCGACACTACTTCGTTCGTGAGCTCGTCCAGGCTGGACACCTCACCGTGCGCAAGATTGACTCTTCAGCCAACCTTGCCGACATCTTCACCAAGGCCCTCCCTCGTCGTCCCCATGCGGCTCTCCTTCGCCTTCTGGGTCTTTCCCCTCCCTCACAGGGGACTACCTGATTCAGGGGTTGCTTCTCCTCCCCTTCCCAAGACTTATGGCACTCTGTAGGCTAAGGGGTTGTGTTAGACTATTCTCCCTTCATTCTATTAGCCTACATCGTTTCATTGTCTTAGGAACTTATAAGCACCCCACTAGGGTGTATACACCCAAGTTGGGGGTTGGGTTCCCAACCTTGTTGGGTTCCCAAATTGGTTGGGCTCCCAATTATTGGAACCCCCAATAATCCCAACCAAGATTATTGGACCCACCAATAATCTTGGCTAGGATTATTGGACCCCCAAAAAGTTGGCCAACTCAACTTATTGGGGTCACCAATAATCGTGGTCACCTCCCAACCAAAACCCCCCCCCCCTCCCTCCTACTCCTCACCTATGTATACCCACTCCTTTCCTAATACAATCATCACTTCAGATTCTCACAGTTCCCAGTCTGTTCAGTTCAAAGCTGGTGAGCTCAGAGCATCAGCCAACATCAGCCAACATCAGCCAACATCAGCCAACATCAGCCAACATCAGCCAACATCAGCCAACATCAGCCAACATCAGCCAACATCAGCCAACATCAGCCAACATCAGCCAACATCAGCCAACATCTGCCAACATCAGCCAACATCAGCCAACATCACCCAAGCCTCTTCTGTTTTCCTCCCTCCTCCCAACCTCCCCCCCTCTCACACCCCTCTCGCCCCTCTCACCCCTCTCACCCCTCTCACTCCGTCAGGACAACGCGGTGCTAGTGGTGGTGATTCGCAGTCCACTCATCTCGTGTGAGCGCAGAGCGACAGCCGTGGTCGCCAGGGCCACATTGGTAGCCAGCCGTGTCTCTTCCCCTCCCTCTTCCCCGAACACCTACCAACCCCTCTCCCTCCACCCCATGATGACAACTTGGCGCTGGTGGAGGTGGTTCCCAGTCCGTTCATCTCTGGTGGGCTCAGAGCTGCAGCAGTGGCCGGCAGTCCATCCATCATCTCTCCACCTCTCACCCCTCTTCCCCTCCCGCCATGAGGACAACTCGGCACTAGTGGAGCCGGTTCCTTCCGAGTCGCTTCATCTATAGTGAACTGCGAGCGACAGCAGCCGCCCATTTTTTCTCGTATCCCCCCGCTACTCACCCCCCTCTCAACCCCCTCCGCCCCCCCTCTCCCCCTTCACCCCATCAGGACAACTCGGCGCTAGTGGAGGTGGTTCCCAGTCCCTATATCGCCGGTGAGCTCAGAGCAACAGCCGTGGCCGGCGCAGTCACTGTGCCGCCCATAACCATCGTCGACATCCCACAGGCTGGTAACCCTCCGGCTGCTGCGTCTTCTGTTACACTGCCTGGTAACCCTACCGCTGCTGCGTTTGGTCGGCCTGGTAACGCTGCTGCTGCTTCTGCTCCCAGCACCAGTGCCGGTGCGCCAGCTGGCGTGCTCTCATTGGCTGTCGCAGTCACCAGTCCTCTCAACGCCTTTCCACCCTTCGAGCGCAACCTCGAGATCGTTTTCTGCCCGGCTGGGCAGTATTACAAAACTGCAGACAATGGTACCAGCAGTAGGAGTAGCAGCAGCACCACGAGCAGCAGTGACCCCACCAACCCCCCTGTGCCTCCCACAACATCCCCTGGAAGCCCAATGCTCTGTGCCACGTGCCCCATAGGCAGCTATTGCGGGCCCGGTAGGGGCGCCCAGCACTGCCCAGATGGCACCTTCTCCTTCCGCCAAGGTGCCACCTCCCCCAGTGACTGCCTGCCCTGCCCCAACACCACCAACGCCAGAACGAGCCTCCCCACCATGACCTGCTCCGACGGGGTTGCTGACGTGGCGGAGGGGTATTGGCTGGACCCGGGGAGTGTGGGGAAGGGGGCGGTGGTGGTGTATGCGTGTGACGTGCTCGATGGGTGCCCTGGGTTCCAATACCCTCCAAAATACCCTCAAGTGCTGAATTCTGCCCTCCAATACTCCTCTCCTGAAGCCGCAGCATCCGCCCTACAAGGCGGTGGTGATGCGCTGTGTGGGGAGGGGGAGGGGGAGGGGGGGCAGTGCATTGGGGAGTACGGGCAGTGTGGGCCGGGGTACGCTCAAGTGCGGCTGTGCTCCGAGTGCAGCAGCGGCTTCTATGCTTCGCTCAAGGAGTGCCGCCAGTGCACCTCCACTCTAACCAATGTGAGCTCTGCGCCACATGGCCTTCAACGTTTGCTCACCAGACTCCAGCCGCTGCCCTTCAATGCTTCCGGTGATGTGCCCTCCCCTTGTCAACTCTACCCCATACTCCCTTCCCCCCCCCCCCCCTCCCGCCCCCTCCTCCCCAGCTCTTCTCTCTCTTCCTCACGCTCACGATCCCAGCATGGGCCCTACTAGCCATACTCTCATCCACATTCCGCACGGCACCCATTTTTCTCTCACAGCTGCAGCAGGTGCTGGCAGCTCACAGCTCTAATCGCCCCCTTCTCTTGTCTACCCCCCCCCCCGCCCCTCGCCAGCTCTTTCCTCTCTTCCTCACGCTCGTCATCCTGGCATGGGCGGCCATGGCCGTCCTCTCAGCCTCATTTCACGCGGCGGCCATTTTCCTCTCGGAGCTGCAGCTACTGGCGCTCATCGCGTCGTACAACGTGCCCTTGCCCACCTGGCTGCGCCCCTTCATTCTGATCTTCCACCTTGCGCTCTTTGCCCCTGTGAGTGCTGCTCTGGGGGGTGCGTGAGTGCTGCTCTGGGGTGTGGGTGAGTGCTGCTCTGAGGTGTGAGTCGGTGAGTGTTGTCTCGATAAGTGAGTGCTCTGCACCTACTGGCGCTCATCGCGTCGTACAATGTGCCCTTGCCCGCCTGGCTGTGAGTGCTGGTTCAGTGCCCCCAGTGCTGGTTCAGTGCCCCCAGTGCTGGTTCAGTGGCCCCAGTGCGTGTGTAGGCACGGGTCGCCTTCTTATCCTCTCTCCCCCAACTCCCACTCCCCTATCCCCCACCCATCAGGACGTGATAGCACCGGCATGCGCCACCTCCTTTGGCTATGTGCAGGAGTGGGCTGTCACCATGCTCGTCCCCCTTATAGGTCTCCTCGCTTACGCCACACTCTTCGCCCTGCGCAAGCTCTACCTGTACATTGTGAAATACAGATCCACTGCTGCTACCGTTACCACCCCACCCAGTTCTGCTCCTGCTGCTGCCACTGCTACCGCTGCTGATGCTGCCACTTCTGCACTTCCCGCCACAACTGCGGCTGCAGATTCTGCTGCTGCTGCCGCTGCTGGAAGCAACACAGAAACAGACACTACTGCCACTCCCAATCATACCCCTTCCTCCAACCACCCTCCCACCCACCCATCCACCCACAAGCATCCCACCTCTCATTCCCCCTCCGATTCTTTCAACTACACCCTAGTTCACGGGGTAACCAACTGGTTAGACCTGTGCTACGCACCTGTCGCCTATCGCTGCCTGCAAGCGCTCCACCCGTACTTCTACGGGGTAGAGACGCTCGCCGCCGCCCCGTCACTCCTCTGGCTCTCTGCCGCCCATAACACCATGTTTGCTGTGGCTGTAGTGGTGCTTCTAGTGTATGTGGTGGGGGCGCCAGTGGGTTATGCTGCAGTGCTGTGGTGGGGGAGAGGGGGAAGGGAGCGAGGGGAGGGGAAGAGAGGGGAGGGAAGTAGAGGAGAGGGGAAGAAAGAGGAGGGAAGTAGAGGAGAGGGGAAGAAAGAGGAAGGGAAGCGCAGGGAGGGGAAGAGAGGGGAGAGGAGAAGGGGGGGTTGGGATGGGCATGCGTTCAGGAGGCAGTGGGGGTGGATGGTCAGCCGGTATGAGGATGACTACTTTTGGTGAGCCACCCATCCATTGATGTGCGACTACTTCTGTGCATCATTAAATGAACCTCGACAAGGCAAGTTGCTCTCTCAACTGCACTTGCCTTGCCTCTCAAGCTGCTCTCTCAACTGCACTTGCCTTGCCTCTCAAGTTGCTCTCTCAACTGCACTTGCCTCAAAAGCATTTAATGAGGTGACTTTTGGGTCGACTCAAAAGCATTTAGTGAGGTGACTTTTGAGTCGACTCAAAAGCATTTAACGAGGTGACTTTTGAGTCGACTCAAAAGCATTTAACGAGGTGACTTTTGAGTCGACTCAAAAGCATTTGATGAGGTGACGTTTGAGTCGACTCAAAAGTCACCTCTCAACTGCACTTGCCTTGCCTTGCCTTCGAGGCTCATTTGACCTGTCCACGCCTGGAGATGTTGTCAACGTCGTCCTATCCCGAGTATCCCACCCACACACACCACCCATCCAGGTGGCACCTCACCTGCTACGTCCGCCGCCTGCTCATCGCCAGCCTGGCAGTCTTCGCCTCCACGTCCCCCGAGGCACAGCTGTCCGCCACGCTGCCCCTGCAGGCGGTGCGCATCGGGCTGCAGTACGGCGCCTCGCCCTTCGCCTCGCTCTCGCTGGACCTGCTCTCATCGCTGCTGGCCCTCTCGGAGTTCCTCTTCACCCTCGCCATGACCGGGGAGAATTACATCAAGCTCTCCGCCGCCGCCTCCGTGCTCTATGTCATCGCGCTCCTGCTGCTGCTGCTGCCGGCGCTGCTGGTGCTGTTGTATGAAGTGGTCAATGGTTACATTGCCGCGTGTAACCGCTGGGCGTTGGTGAGGCTGGAGGGGGGACGGAAGGGTGGGGTTGGGAGGGGATGGGGAAGAGGTGGGAGCCGGGGCCCTGACTCGCGTTTGCAAACACCGAGGGCTCAAGGGAGGTGCGGAAACACAGGCGAAGAGATGAGTGAGGATGGGTATGAAGGGGTTGATATGGGGGACGTGGCAGAGTGGTTCAGACCACATGTGCTCTATGCCTTCCTTCACCACTCCAACAAGACTGCTGCTGCTGCTGCTGCTGCTGCTGCTGCTGCTGCTGCTGAAGGAGCAGCAGCACAACCAGCTGACTCAGCAACCAGCACCACACCACAACCATCACCCCAGCAGCAGCAGCAGCAGCAGCAGCAGCACCCGGCTCACCTCCTCCTCGCCATCCACCGCCGCTTCCACCTCTGCCAGTCAAATGGCCTGGGCGGCACGGACTGGACGCGGCACCTGTCCAAGTCGCAGCTATACGCCGTGCTCTCACAGGCGCTGCTGGGCGCCGCCGTGGGGGACGTCACCGTCGCCACCCTGCCCGCTAGGCCTGGTACAGACTCTCGTGTGCTGAAACCGCAGATCACGCTGCAGCAGCAGCAGCAGCAGCGGCAGCAGGCGAACCAGCAGCAGCAGCAGCCGCAGTTGGGAGTAGTGGTGGGAGGCAGTATGACGGCAATAGGAGCAGCAGCGGCGGACTTGGGAGGGGTGGGGTCCACGAGTGGCCGTCGCAGCAACATCAGTGTTCTGGTTCGCAGCCTGTCCAAGCGGGAAGGGCTGCCAGCGGCTGACCCCCTCTCCATGTCTCGAAGCAGCTCCAGGCACGACCTGCCAGCAGCAGGAGCAGCAGCAGGAGCAGGAGCAGCAGTGGTAGGAGAGGGGGCGATCATCGGTGGCGGGTTGCTGGTGCGCAGCGGGTCCACCTCACGGGGGGACTCGGCCTCTGACCCACCTGCCTGGGCGTCCGCCATCGGGGCTTTCGGCCTCTCCAGGAGCGCCTCCCGCCGCGAGATCGTTCCGGACTCACCACGGGCAGTTGGAGCCGTGGGACCATTCTCGGGAGGAGTAGGAGTAGGAGCAGGAGGAGCAGGAGGAGCAGCAGGAGCCGGTCTAGCGTCAGGTCTAGGGGCGGTGCTGGCGGCGGGAGTGCCGGGAACGCCGGTGGCGCGGCAGGGGTCGCGCCGGGACTTTGTGCCCGACTCGCCCCTTGCCATTTCCAGAAGCGCCTCCCGCCACGCTGCCCTTGCAGACTCCCCTGCCTCTGCTGCCCTCTCCATCTCCCCCTCAGCAGCAGCCTTACCTGGCCTGGGTGGCTTTTCCCTGTCTCGCAGCAGCTCCCGCCGCGACCCCTCAGGTGCACTCTCAGGTGAATTCTCAGGTGCTCTCCCGGTGGTCCGGCAGTCCATCTCCCGGAGCTCCTCCCGTCGGGAGATCGTGTCGGAGATCGAGGGCGAGCTCGCCGCCACGGGCCTCCCGGGGTCTCTGTCGCGGTCCCTCTCTCGGTCGCTTTCCAGGAGTGCGTCGCGGCGCGAGCGGTGGAATGATGGCAGCAGCAGCTTTGGGGGGGGCGTGGTGGAGGCGGAGGTGGTCACCCGGGCCGAGTGGCCCCCGCGCCTGGAGGACCATGTCACCTGGGCCGCCGCTGCTGGGGCTGGGGGTGGTGCTGCTGCTGATGGTGGTCGTGGTGCTGGGGGTGCTGCTGCTGGGGGTGCTGCTGCTGGGGGTGGTGGTGGCACTGGTGGGGAACATGCAGGGGTGAGTGAGGAAGGTGCAAGAGGGGGAGGGGAAGGCAGTGGTGGTGCCGGGAATAGGAATGTTGCAGCAGGGGATGGGAGTGCTGCTGTGTCTGACAGGGGCACTGCAGGCGCTAGAGAGCCAAGCAGCAGCAGGGTTGGCAGCGGCCGTGGCACCAGCAGCAATGGCTCGCCTCCTCCTGCTGCTTCGTCCATCCCTCCCACGGCCGCCAATGCAGCTGCTGCTGCTGCTGCCTCATCACCAGTTGAAGCTGACTCATCGCCAGTTGAAGCTGACTCATCACCAGTTGAAGCTGACTCATCGCCAGTTGGAGCTGACTCATCACCAGTTGAAGCTGACTCATCGCCAGTTGAAGCTGACTCATCACCAGTTGAAGCTGACTCATCGCCAGTTGGAGCTGACTCATCACCAGTTGAAGCTGACTCATCACCAGTTGAAGCTGACTCATCACCAGTTGAAGCTGACTCATCGCCAGTTGAAGCTGACTCAGCGCTACATGCACCCTCTCCATCCCGGCCAGCACCTGCTTCCGTTGCGAGCAGCACAGGGCCCAGTGAGGCAGCTCTGCACGGCACATCACCCTCATTACCAGTGGGTTTATGGCCACGGTCAGATGCTGCACCAGCAGCAGCACCAGATACAACAGCAGCAACAGCACTAGGAACACCACCAGAACTGGGAACAGCTGGTGCAACAGCAGCAGTAGCAACAACAACATCAGCAGCAGCAGCAGGAGCAGCAGCAGGGGCAGGGGAGCCGGGAGGAAGGGGGGAGGCGGAGTACGTGGAGGCGCGGCTGGGCGTGGCGGAGCTGACTCTGACGTTTCAGCGGCACCTGGCCATTCTGGTGCGCGTGGAGGCGCACCGCAGGGAGGACTCGCTGCGCCTGCTGCTGCACTCCCACGCCGTGCAGGACGTCATTGCCTGGCTCACCTCCCCGCACTGGTAAGGAATACCCATGCCAGATGTTATTGCTTGGCTCACCTCCCCGCACTGGTAAGGAATACCCATGCCAGATGTTATTGCTTGGCTCACCTCCCCGCACTGGTAAGGAATACCCATGCCAGATGTTATTGCTCGGCTCACCTCCCCTCACTGGTAAGGAATACCCATGCCAGATGTTATTGCATGGCTCACCTCCCCGCACTGGTAAGGAATACCCATGCCAGATGTTATTGCTCGGCTCACCTCCCCGCATTGGTAAGGAATACCCATGCCAGATGTTATTGCTTGGCTCAGCTCCCCTCACTGGTAAGGAATACCCATGCCAGATGTTATTGCTTGGCTCACCTCCCCGCACTGGTAAGGAATACCCATGCCAGATGTTATTGCGTGGCTCACCTCCCCGCACTGGTAAGGAATACCCATGCCAGATGTTATTGCGTGGCTCACCTCCCCGCACTGGTAAGGAATACCCATCCCAGATGTTATTGCTCGGCTCACCTCCCCTCACTGGTAAGGAATACCCATGCCAGATGTTATTGCTTGGCTCACCTCCCCTCACTGGTAAGGAATACCCATGCCAGATGTTATTGCTTGGCTCACCTCCCCGCACTGGTAAGGAATACCCATGCCAGATGTTATTGCTTGGCTCACCTCTTTGCACTGATAAGGAATACCCATGCCAGATGTTATTGCTTGGCTCACCTCCCCTCACTGGTAAGGAATACCCGTGCAAGATGTTATTGCTTGGCTCACCTTCCCGCATTGGCAAGGAATACACATGCCATAAGTTATTGCTTGGCTCACCTTCGTGTCCCGCACTGGTGCAAAAGCAGTACCAGCGGGCAGCCTGTCAGAACTCAGTCGCTAACCACTGAGTTAAAAGGGCGTATTACGTTGCGGGTTAGCGCGTCCACAACCCCCCAGGCAGAGAGGCCTGTAGCCCTTCCTCGAGGATCTCTCAAGGGCAACCCCAGCGGGTCTTTAGACACAACCATGTCAACTGATACATACAGGCCTGTCGATTCAAGGGCTAATGCCCTTAATGCCCTGAACATTCCGGGTAAGCCGTCCGTCAGGGTCCGACTTTTCAGGGTTTGATTCGGGACTTGCTCGTGATGGTTAAGGGTTTCTTTCGGCCCTTTCCCAGAATCGCTCAGGGCTGAGTTGAAGCCTTTCCCTGATTTTCTGTAACGGTGTATAGACATACCCTTACCTATGCATACCTTCCTCGCCCACCCACACCACCCCACCTTCCCCTTCGGCTAGGACAATTTGGCTGTCCTCCAAACCAGAGACATCCCTTCCACATCCTACCCGAGCTCGGAAAATTCCTCGGAGTCCCCCACACCTAGAGACATTCCTCCCACACCCCTCGCACCCCCAGAGAATCCCCCCAGCCAGAAAATTCCTCTAAGTCCTCCAAACCAGAGACATTCTTCCCACACCCAAACCGAACATAGGAAAATCGATGAAGTCCCCCACACCCGCAGACATTCCTCCCACCCCCCTCGGATCCCCAGAGAATTCGACAAGCCCCCACAGCCCGAGACAGTACTCCAACATCCCCTCCTCCTACATCCCCACTTCCCCCTCCCCCTTCTCCACCGATAATTTTTTTGGCCGTCTCCAAAGCCAGTCACAAGCCCCTCCCACACACTCCCGCATCCCAGAAATTGGCAAAGTCCGTGACACCTATGAAGAAAAGAGAAATGTGCACTACTATCAGATTTGGCACACAAATTCTCCTGCGAAAATAGGCTGGCCTCCCCACTCAGTACAGTCCGTGACACCTATGAATAAAAGAGAAATGTGCACTACTATCAGATTTGGCACACAAATTCTCCTGCGAAAATAGGCTGCGAAAATAACCTGGTACGATGATGAAGTTTTTTCTCTGACAAAGTACAGTCTCCGGCGCAGCCCTGATTTCAAGTTCTGGTTTGGACCCCAGCCCGTACGCTTCAGAGCTCAGTTCAGTCGCTTTCCGGAAATTTCAGAGCTGTTTTCGGGGGACCTCGGCCTCTCAAGTATTGGCCCCAAACCAATCGACAGCCTTGGATACATATGTTTGTATGTAGACGTTATAGGCCAGATAGATGTATGTTCTTAGAGGGTACAACTCCAACCCTATGTCTCTCTTGTTCTATCGTGTTTCTATCATTCTCGTATTCTAAGAAGCCATACGTGGGTTGTAATGCCAAAGGCTGGTATTCTTGTTTCTATTGTGTTGAGCTTGCCTTCTCTCTTACGCTTCGTTTTCTTGTCTTTTTGGTTTCGTCTTTCTGACTCTCCCATATGCTCCTTCCAGCAAGCCGGACGATCAAAGGCTTGTGTTGGAGCTGATCAGATTGATGAGAGAGGCATCAGAGGATGAGGCAGGGGGGCTGCAGTGGTACTGGGGCTTCCTTTGCTTCTTCCGCACGCACAGAATGTTCAGCGGTATTTATTGAGCTACTACACTCTTAATCATAGGGTGCCTGGGGCTTTAGTCAAAGAGCTGGCTGGTATTTCTGTTCGTACTGACTGATGGTACAATATTAGTGTTTTCCAACGGGCTTTTTCCAAATCACAGGTGTTGTTTAGTTGTTTAGCACAGCTGTAATGAATCAGGAATGTAGCTATGAAGACCGACGACTCTTCTTGCACCACTGCACGTTCCCGAGTGACCACCGCGCTTGCACCGCTTCTCGTTTGTATCACGTCTGATTCATCAGCTCACCACGCCTTGCCCAGCTGTAGCTGGTGGACTTCCCAAGGCTGTCATGTTCCATTCTCGAAGGGCAACCAGAACTGCAGGAAGGGTTCGTTCTTCATACCCAACCGCTCTAGGGTGCTATTCGAACGCTTTGAAACGCAAAGCAACTTATTGCACCGCAATCAAACACAGCACTGCAGTACTGTGCAGCAGGCACATGCATGGGCAAATACGGGTTACCGGTTACTCGCGATTTTCGCCCTTGATTCTTGAGTGTGTTCCTGGCAGCTGGACTGGGCAGAACATACGCGGGATTGTAAAAGCCTCCCATTCTATCATGCCATTCCATGGTTCTTTCTGTTCATCCTCCTCGACTTCCCTCTCTTTCTGGCCAACTCTTGCTTGCATCATGTCTCCCAGACAAGCCATGATTCATTCCAAGTGCCCTACATTTCATTTTTCAGGCTGCTAATCAAGATTAAGCTCCAATTTCTGAGCAGAAGCTCCCGTGTCGCTTCAAGCGACGCCATCCGTGCTGTGCTCCTGAGCGAACGGCACGGCACACAATGGACGGCGAGATCCAACCCGATCCTGATCATGAAAATCCTCATCAGGACAATCGCGACCGTCGAGACCGTCGAGACCATCGCGATAGTTCCCGTGACGGTCGTGCTTCCGGGAATCGTCAGCCGATCATCCCTAGGGAGGACGTCGCAGAAATCGAAACCGGTTCGGACAACGCGGATCGTCGCGTGTTGGCCGAGCTCGCGACGGCGCTATCCCTCGCCGAACGCATTCTTCAGATCGCCGCCACCGCGTCACAGACTCGCGTCCACCGGCTGCTAACGGATCGCATTGCAACGCGTACGCAGCAGCTGCTTCCCGTGCTTCGCCGCCTGCAGGCTTCGTCCATGAGCCTCATCCATGACCCCCGAGCCTCCTTCGTCTTCGAGCGTCTGGTTACAGAGTTACAGGAGGCGAAGCTCCTCTTGGAGACCTGCACCAAAGTGTCCGTGCTTGGGATTATGTTCCGCTTTAAGCGCCGGGCGGAAATCGCGGAGCGGTTGGAATCGTGTTTAGCGGAGATTCGCCAGTGCCATACGGAATGCCTCATTCTGATTGGCCAGGACAACTTCCACGGCCGCGGGGTCTACACGCCGGGCAGCGTAATAGGCGGCGTCAACAGCGGTGCCGGAGGCATCGGCGGAGGGACTGGCGGAGGCATCGGCGGGGGCTTGGGCGGGGATCCAGCGGAGCGTTTTGGCTCTGATTACGGTTCCGCGGGTGGAGGAGGCTTACAGCGTGGGTTTTCAACGGAGGTGATTCTCCCTTCCAGCCCCATGGTCGACCGCTCCCCGCGCGCCTGGAACGGCGGCGGGCAATCCGGGTCGCACAATTCCCGGCTCGGCGCGCTCCCGCGGTCAGGAAGCGACGGCGTGCAGGAGCAGGGGTCGCACGGCGCGCGCGGACTGCACGGGATTCACGGGGTTTATGGTAATTACGGGGAGCGCCACCCGCAGCAGGAGCGGCAGCGGCGGCTTGCGCCGGACCTGCACCGGCCCAGCACGGCGGGGGAGGCGGCGGTGATGCCTCGCTCCTTCTCCTCCACCGACGCTGCTGACGTGGCGGCGGCGCGCGGCACTCCCGGGGAGTTTTCGATGGACATTCCGAACGTGCGGCGAGCGAATGCGGCGAGGCCCGCTGCTGGCGCGGAGGAGAGGGGGACGGGCGCAAGGGGGAGCTGAGTATCGGGGAGGGGGAGGGGATGGGCGCAGACGCTAACGGAGGGATGGTGCCCTCAGGTTACACGTCATCCCACGTCAGACATGCGTCGGAATACCCGCGCCCCCCTCCCAGCGTGAGCAGCATCTCGTCGGAATGCGACCACGCGCGCGTGCTGGTCTCCGCGCTCACCGACGGATCCACCGCCGAGAAGCGGGCCGCACTAGCCGCGCTCCTAGAGCTGGCGGAGACGGACGAAGGGAAGCTTAGCGTCGCCGCGGCCGGCGCAGTGCCCGTGCTGTCTGTGATCCTCGCCCTTCCGGATAGCCTGGGGGAGCCCACGAAGCTAGCCGCCGCCCGCGTGCTGCTGCGCCTCGCGTGCCTAGACGAGAACCGAGTCGTGATCGCTAAAGCGGGGTGCGTGCCCTCGTTTGTGTCACTCCTGCGCTCCGGGAGCCCCGAAGCCAGGGCGGTCGCGGCGCGGGTGCTGTGGAATCTAGCGGTCAACACGGAGAATAAGGTCATAATCGCCGCGTCAGAAGCCGTCCCGTCATTAGTCGCTATCATCCAATCGGAGTCGGAGCCTGTAGCGAAGCAGGAAGCGGCCGAAGCGCTAGCACAGCTCACAGCCAATAACATGAAGAACCAGGCGGCTGTAGCTGAGGCAGGCGGCATCCCGGCCCTCGTGACTATGCTGAAGGAAGGCTCCCCTCGGGAGCAGGAGAAAGCAGCGCTCGCTTTAGGCACGCTCGCCGTGAATAACGACGAGAACAAGCTGACTGTAGCGGGAGCGGGCGCGTCCCCGCTGCTCCTAGACCTTCTCTGCCAGAGCGACAATCCCGAGGCTTCGAAAAACGCCGCCTGGGCGCTCTACGTGCTGTCCTCCAATAAGATCTCCGCGTCTTACATCCTCGCTAGTGGCGGACTCACTGCAGTGAAACGAGTGCACAATACAGGCCCGCCAGAGTCGCTGTACTGGGCTGCGCATATCTTGTCCCTGCTGGACCCGTCGTCTGGTCCCCCTGAGAAGCACCCGGCGCACCGGCTGTCGAATGCGGGGCTGTTGAAGGGGGGGAGGGACGAGGAGGATGCTATGAGCCAGCGAATGGAGGAGAGGCGGGCCACGCGGGAGAGGATTGTCCAGGGCTGGTGACACCGCAGGGGTGGGGAGAAATCCGGGCTGGTGAGACAGCAGGGCGGAGCTGCGGGGGTGTTGCGATGGTGGGGGTGGTGAAACAACAGCTGTGAGAGTGGTGAGATAGCAGGGATGGTGAGATAGTGGGATGGTTAGACAGCAGGGTGGCATGACGGGTGGTGAAGTTAGTGTGGTTGGGGCAGTCAAAGTGGTGAGGGAGTGAGACGAGTGAGCAAGCTGGGGTTGGGAGATACAGCGGGGATGGTGAAACGGACAGGCAGCTCACTTAGGGTGGCTGGGAAAGGGGATGCGAGGCAGCAGACTCGTTTCCAGAAGGATGGTTGTTCACAGCAGCCTTCCTTGTGGTTGCCGAGTACACTGCCAGCAGGGTGAGGCAGGAGTGGTGCAGTCAGGCCAGGGGGTGTGGGAGGAGGGCGTATAGTGTGTGAAGTGTGCGTGCTGTCAGGCAAGGCTGAACACAGCAAGTGCTCCTTGGGGGTCTGTTTCAAGTTTCAACCACTTGATTGGGGTGCTGATGAGCCTTGTTACCGTTACCGGTATTGGTGGGACTGGCAGTTTAAGGTGACGCGCTTCTACTACCGGTATGTGATACCAAATGGAGCAGCAGGTTCCAGGAGCTTGGTTCTGGAGGTGCAATGCCAGCTTGGTTGGAAGGGGGGAGGGCTCCTGTGGGTTGTGGCAATGTGGTGTTTTGGAGACCCCTGTTGCAGGAAAACCAGAGGGACTTGTCTCATTCTATGATTGGATTAGGATTTTTTATTTATTTATCCCTGTTCCGGTAGGATTAGACAGCTTCAGTAGCCTTTTATATGAAGACACTTCATTAGGTTTGAGTGCAACCTGTTGTGCAATTATATCCAGAATCAAGTATAGTAGCTGACGGTTGCAGCCAGAATAATGCTAGTACTTACTAGCCCTGACATAGTAGTTGGGCTAAAAGTGCACGTCATTTTTAGTGCAATTTCAATTGCAATTCAGAGCCCTGCATACTGTAGGTAGCCAACAGCGAAGGGCTTATCCAATGCAGGTCGCCCACTTGCTCCAGTTGGCTTCTGGGCGTTCGTGACACGATGGGTACTCCAGTCCAGTGATTAAACAGGCTTAGTACGTACCGGTACATGCGTACATCAAATTACAGCTCAATAAACACCACTAAACATTCTGTGCGTGCGGAAGAAGCAAAGGAAGCCCCAGTACCACTGCAACCCCCCCGCCTCTTCCTCTGCTGCCTCTCTCATCAATCTGACCAGATCCAACACAAGCCTCTGATCTTCCGGCATGCTGGACAGAGCGGAGGGGACCGATGAAAAGAAACAAAGCACGAAGACAGAAATCACGAGAAGCAGACAACAAAAAGCAGAAAACGAAAGGAATCCAACAAAATAGCTTAGGTACGGTACAACCCACATGGCTGCACAGCTGGTCGTCCTTACCAGTGAGGGGAGGTGAGCCAAGCAATAACATCTGGCATGGGTATTCCTTACCAGTGAGGGGAGGTGAGCCGAGCAATAACATCTGGGATGGGTATTCCTTACCAGTGCGGGGAGGTGAGCCACGCAATAACATCTGGCATGGGTATTCCTTACCAGTGCAGGGAGGTGAGCCACGCAATAACATCTGGCATGGGTATTCCTTACCAGTGCGGGGAGGTGAGCCAAGCAATAACATCTGGCATGGGTATTCCTTACCAGTGAGGGGAGCTGAGCCAAGCAATAACATCTGGCATGGGTATTCCTTACCAGTGCGGGGAGGTGAGCCAAGCAATAACATCTGGCATGGGTATTCCTTACCAGTGCGGGGAGGTGAGCCATGCAATAACATCTGGCATGGGTATTCCTTACCAGTGAGGGGAGGTGAGCCAAGCAATAACATCTGGCATGGGTATTCCTTACCAGTGCGGGGAGCTGAGCCAAGCAATAACATCTGGCATGGGTATTCCTTACCAGTGCGGGGAGGTGAGCCAAGCAATAACATCTGGCATGGGTATTCCTTACCAGTGCGGGGAGGTGAGCCAGGCGATGACGTCCTGCACGGCGTGGGAGTGCAGCAGCAGGCGCAGCGAGTCCTCCCTGCGGTGCGCCTCCACGCGCACCAGAATGGCCAGGTGCCGCTGAAACGTCAGAGTCAGCTCCGCCACGCCCAGCCGCGCCTCCACGTACTCCGCCTCCCCCCTTCCTCCCGGCTCCCCTGCCCCTGCTGCTGCTCCTGCTGCTGCTGCTGATGTTGTTGTTGCTACTGCTGCTGTTGCACCAGCTGTTCCCAGTTCTGGTGGTGTTCCTAGTGCTGTTGCTGCTGTTGTATCCGGTGCTGCTGCTGGTGCAGCATCTGACCGTGGCCATAAACCCACTCGTAATGAGGGTGATGTGCCGTGCAGAGCTGCCTCACTGGGCCCTGTGCTGCTCGCAACGGAAGCAGGTGCTGGCCGGGATGGAGAGGGTGCATGTAGCGCTGAGTCAGCTTCAACTGGCGATGAGTCAGCTTCAACTGGTGATGAGTCAGCATCAACTGGTGATGAGTCAGTAGCAGCAGCAGCAGCAGCTGCATTGGTGGCCGTGGAAGGGGTGGACGAAGCAGGAGGAGGAGGAGGCGAGCCATTGCTGCTGCCACAGCCGCTGCCAACCCTGCTGCTGCTCCGCTCTCGAGCACCTTCAGTGCCCCTGTCAGAAACAGCAGCACCCCCAGCACACCCAGCACCCCCAGCACCCCCATCCCCCCCAGCACCCCCAGCACCCCCAGCAGCAGCGGCCCAGGTGACATGGTCCTCGAGCTGCGGAGGCCACTCGGCCCTCGTAACAACCTCAGCCTCCACCAGCCCCCCCCCAAAGCTGCTGCTGCCATCATTCCACCGCTCGCGCCGCGACGCACTCCTGGAAAGAGACCGGGAGAGGGAGCGCGACAGCGACCCTGGGAGGCCCGTGGCGGCCAGCTCGCCCTCGATCTCCGATACGATCTCCCGCCGCGAGGAGCTGCGGGAGATGGACTGCCGCACCACTGGGAGAGCACCTGAGAATTCACCTGAGAGTGCACCTGGAGGGTCGCGGCGGGAGCTGCTGCGGGAGAGGGAGTAGCCGCCCAAGGCGCCCAAACCACCTGAGCCGCCAAGGCCAGGTAGGGCTTGTGCTGAGGGGGAGGCGGAGAGAACAGCAGTGGTGGGAGAGTCTGCGAGTGCAGCATGGTGGGAGGCGCTTCTGGAGATGGCGAGGGGCGAGTCGGGCACAAAGTCCCGGCGAGACCCCTGCCGCGCCACGGGCGTTCCCGGCACTCCTGCTGCCAACACTGCTCCCAGATTTCCTCCTAAGCCTGTCCCTGACCCCGCTGCTCCCACGCCTCCCACTGCCCGTGGTGAGTCCGGTACGATCTCGCGGCGGGAGGCGCTCCTGGAGAGGCCGTATGCCCCGATGGCGGACGCCCAGACTGGCGGGTCTGCAGCCAAGTCCCTTGAGGAGGACGCACTGTGCACCAGCAACCCGGCACCGATGATTGCCCCTTCGCCTACCACTGCTGCTCCCACTCCTCCTACTCCTGCTGCTGGCAGCTCGTGCCTGGAGCTGCTTCGAGACATGGAGAGCGGATCAGCCACTGGCAGCCCCTCTCGCTTGGACAGGCTGCGAACCAGAACACTGATGTTGCTGCGCCGCCCGCTCGTGGACCCCACCCCGCCTATGTCCGCCGCTGCTGCTGCCACTCGTAACTGCTGCTGCCGCTGCTGCTGCTGCTGCTGCTGCTGCTGCTGATGCTGCTGCTGTTGATGCGACAGGGAAGCTCTGGCCCGGTCTGTGCCAGTCCTAGCGGGCAGGGTGGCGACGGTGACGTCCCCCACGGCGGCACCCAGCAGCGCCTGTGAGAGCACGGCGTACAGCTGCGACTTGGACAGGTGCCGCGTCCAGTCGGTGCCGCCCAGGCCCTTTGACTGGCAGAGGTGGAAGCGGCGGTGGATGGTGAGGAGGAGGCGTGCAGGGTGCTGCTGCTGAAATGATGGTGCTGGTGCTGGTGGTGATGTTGAGGTGGCTGCTGGTTGTGCTGCTGCTGCTCCAGCACTAGCAGCAGCAGCAGTGTTGTTGGAGTGGTGAAGGAAGGCATAGAGCACATGGGGTCTGAACCAGTCAGCCACATCCCCCACATCAAGCCCCTCCCTTTCATCAGGACCTGCCCCTTCAGGCGTGCCTGCAGACGCCCCTTGAGGTGCGGCTGTAGATGCCCCTCCAGTCGTGGCTTCAGACGAGGCATGAGGCCCTGCAGACCCCTCCAACAGCAAGGCAACGCCTGGGCTCCCGCCTCTCCCTCCGCCCTCCAGCCTCACCAATTCCCTGCGGTTACACGCGGCAATGTAACCATTTACCACTTCATACAACAGCACCAGCAGCGCAGGCAGCAGCAGCAGCAGGAGCGCGATCACAAAGAGCGCGGTGGCGGCGGCGGAGAGCTTGATGTAATTCTCCCCGGTCATGGCGAGGGTGAAGAGGAACTCTGAGAGGGCCAGCAGCGACGAGAGCAGGTCCAGCGAGAGTGAGGCGAAGGGCGAGGCGCCGTACTGCAGCCCGATGCGCACCGCCTGCAGGGGCAGCGTGGCGGACAGCTGCGCCTCGGGGGACGTGGAGGCGAAGACTGCCAGGCTGGCGATGAGCAGGCGGCGGACGTAGCAGGTGAGGTGCCACCTGGATGGGTGGTGTAAGGGGGGAGAGGGGAAACATTGTCAGAATATAACCCTGCTCGCTTATCCTACATAGATTAGTATTCTAGGATACGTATAGGCAACTTGATTTAACAAGGGTGCAATTACCCTAGTAACGGGTTGGGTTCCCAAAAACGGTGGGCTCCATAGGCCATTATGACGCTCTACGAGTTGGGCCCTCAGTTATTGAGAACCCCAGTAATCCCAACCAAGACTGTTGGAACCCCCGATGGTTTGGGCAACCCAAATTATTGGGGAGGGCCAAAATCTTGGCCTTGAACCCAATGAATCCCCCCTGTCCCTCTCTCAACTATGCTCACCCCTCTACTTCCTATCCAACCAACTCTTCTTTCCCACACACAGGTGCCAGCAGCTCCAAGAGTGGACATATGGGGTGAACAGGCAGGCAGGCGAGGCGAGCTGAGCTAAGTTTAGAAGGCAAGTGAGATGAGCAGACCAAGACGCACCAGAAGTAGTCATCCTTGTATTGCCTCACCATCCACCCCCACCGCCTCCTGTACTCATGCCCATCCATTCCCCCTTGCCTCCCCCCCTCCGCTACCTTCCCCTCCCCTCTCTTCCCCTGCCCTCTCTTCCCCTGCCCTCTCTTCCCCTGCCCTCTCTTCCCCTCCCCTCTCTTCCCCCTTTCTCCTCTCCTCTCCTCCCCACTTTCTCGCCCCCACCACAGCACCACTGCATGCCCCACTGGCAACCCCACCACATACAGCAGCAGAGCCACCACAGCCACAGCAAACATGGTGCTATGGGCGGCAGAGAACCAGAGGATCGACGGGGCGGCAGCAAGCGTCTCTACCCCGTAGAAGTATGGGTGGAGCGCTTGCAGGCAGCGGTAGGCAACGGGTGCGTAGCACAGGTCTAACCAGTTGGTTACCCCGTGAACTAGGGTGTAGTTGAAGGGGTCGGAGGGGGTATGAGAGGGGAGGCGCTTGTTGGTGGATGGGTGGTTGTGAGGGTGGTTGGAGGAGGGGGGATGGTTAGGGGATGCAGTAGTGTCTGTTTCTGTGTTGCTGGCAGCGGCGGTAGCAGTAGCAGCAGCAGCAGCAGCATCTGCAACTGCAGCAGTGGAAAGGACAGCAGAAGCGGCAGCATCAGCAGAGGTAGCAGCAGCAGCAGCAGCAGCAGTAGCAGCAGCAGCAGCAGCAGCAGCAGCAGTAGCAGCAGCAGCAGCAGCAGCAGATCCAGAAGTGGGGGCGGTAACTGCATCAGCAGTGGTTGGGCATTTCACAAGGTACAGGTAGAGCTTTCGCTGGGCAAAGAGTGTGGCGTAAGCGAGGAGGCCTATAAGGGGGACGAGCATGGTGACAGCCCACTCCTGCACATAGCCAAAGGAGGTGGCGCATGCCGGTGCTATCACGTCCTGATGGGTGGGGGATAGAGGAGTGGGAGTTGGGGGAGAGAGGAAAAGGGGGTTATGGGGAAAGAAACGTTGCTCCTCCCATGCAGATATGAGTGGGACTAGGAGCACTCAGAGATGCACACAGGGATTGCTAACACTGACATCTTGAGCGCTCACAGCAACAAAGAGCACTCACACACACACACCTCTGAGCGGCACTCACTCCCACCTCAGAGCAGCACTCACCCACACCCCAGAGCAGCACTCACGCACCCCCCAGAGCGGCACTCACCGGGGCAAAGAGCGCGAGGTTGAAGAGTTGGATGAAGGGGCGCAGCCAGGCGGGGAAGGGCACGTTGTACGACGCGATGAGCGCCAACAGCTGCAGCTCCGAGAGGAAAATGGCCGCCGCGTGAAATGAGGCTGAGAGGACGGCCATGGCGACCCATGCCAGGATGATGAGCGTGAGGAAGAGAGGAAAGAGCTGCCAAGGGGGGTGGGGAGAGGGAGGAGGAATTTGACAAGGGAAGGAGATGAGGAGATGATTTTTGAGGTGAGGGAGGCGCCTCAACAACGGAAGTGGCTTAAGATGAGGAGATGCGAAGCCTTCATGGGGGAGTGGCGTGGGTTCAGCAGAAAAACAAAACGGACTAAGTTGTGTGCCACGTGGCAGGCTCACATTGGAGAGAGTGGCGGTGCACTGGCGGCACTCCTTGAGCGAAGCATAGAAGCCGCTGCTGCACTCGGAGCACAGCCGCACTTGAGCGTACCCCGGCCCACACTGCCCGTACTCCCCAATGCACTGCCCCCCTCCCCCTCCCCCTCCCCCTCCCCCTCCCCACACAGGACATCACCACCGCCTTGCATGGAGCTTGCTGCAGCATTGGGAGAGTAGTACTGGCTAGAATTCAGCACTGGAGGGTATTTTGGAGGGTATTGGAACCCGGGGCACCCATCCAGCACGTCACATGCATACACCACCACCGCCCCCTTCCCCACACTCCCTGGGTCCAGCCAATACCCCTCCGCCACGTCAGCAACGCCATCGGAACACGACATGGCAGGGAGGTTCGTTCTGGCGTTGGTGGTGTTCGGGCAGGGGAGGCAGTCACTGGGGGAGGTGGCACCTGGGCGGAAGGAGAAGGTGCCATCTGGGCAGTGCTGGGCGCCCCTACCGAGCCCGCAGTAGCTGCCAACGGGGCACGTGGCACAGAGCATTGGGCTTCCAGGGGTAGTTGTGGGAGGCACAGGGGGGTTGGTGGGGTCACTGCTGCTGCTGCTGCTGCTGCTGCTGCTGCTGGTACTGTTGTTGGTGGTGGTGGTGGTGCTGCTGCTGCTGCTGCTGCTGCTGCTGCTGCTGCTGTTGGTTCCACTTGCTGCTGTTTTGTAATACTGCCCGGCCGGGCAGAAAACGATCTCGAGGGTGCGCTCAAAGGGTGGGAATGCGTTGAGAGGACTGGTGACTGCGACAGCTAACCAGAGCACGCCAGCTGGCGTGCCGGCACTGGCGTTGGGAGCGAAAGCAGCGGCAGCAGCAGTTTGGTTACCAGGCAGTGCACCAAACGCAGCAGCCGTAGGGTTACCAGTCAGTGTAACAGAAGCAGCAGCAGCAACAGGAGAGGGGTTACCAGGCTGTGGGATATCGACGATGGTTATGGGTGGCATTGTCACTGCGCCGGACATGGCTGTTGCTCTGAGCTCACCCGCAATAAATGCACTGGGAACGACCTCCACTAGAGCTGAGTTGTCCTGATGAGGGGAGGGGGAGGGGGAAGGTGAGTGGCGGGGTGGGAGTAGACATGGTCATATCGCATCGCATCGCGTTATATCGCATTTTGCGATGGCGATTTTTTTATTTTATTTTTACAAATATCCCGCGATTTTTGCGATATCGCGTTTATATCGCACTTTTATTGGCGCGATAAAATGCGATTCGCGATATTAAAAAAATCACCCGCGTTTGGAGCTCGCCATTTTTTTTTTGCTGTTTATTTATTATAACCGACATTGTAATGGTGTGTTGTGCCCCTGTTTGAAACCCTTCGGCAGTTCCCAGTTATCTAACTATCCAAATTGCTGCTGTAGTTTACTTTGCCCTGAAATTTAGCCCTGTCGATGCGATATTTTATCGCATCGCGCGATATATCGCACTCTACAGCGCGATATTTAAAAATATCGCACCCAAAACGCGATATGCGATTTTGTGTTTTTTCAAAAATATTATCGCGGCGATGCGATATCGCATCGCATCTCATTTTGACAATGCCTAGGTGGGAATTGGTAGGGAGGGAAACAAAAAAGTATTGCTGCTGTTTGCTCTGAGCTCACCCGCGATGAACGCACTGGGAACGACCTCCCCTGGAGCTGAATTTTTCTGACGGGGGGAAGGGGCAGAGGGTGGGGGAGGGGGGGGGAAGTGAAACGTCTGGTTACTACCGCGGCACTGTCACTGTGACGTCGGCCACTGCTGTTGCTCTGATCTCACCGTTGGGAGGAGCACTCATTGGGAGGAGCATTTTCATTGGAAAAACGCTACAGACCTCTCAGGTGAGGTGACTCACATTGGACGCAACGAGCCACAAAGCTACAGGTCTGTCAGTCGTCCCACGAAGCCACTGACCTCAGTTTACAAGCCTCTCAGGTGAGGTGACTCACATTGGAAGCAACGAGCCCGGCCGCATCGAGCACGGTGACCTGCAGCCCAGCCACCGGGTTGGCCATGTCTCCCCGCACTCGGTACACCGCCGTCCCCCCACCGTCCACTTGATCAGACCCAGGCCAGCTGTTGGGATCAAAGGGGGGGGGAGGGGGACCAGGGGAGGAGCACGGTGACCTGCAGCCCAGCCACCGGGTTGGCCATGTCTCCCCGCACTCGGTACACCGCCGTCCCCCCACCGTCCACTTGATCAGACCCAGGCCAGCTGTTGGGATCAAAGGGGGGGGGAGGGGGACCAGGGGAGGAGCACGGTGACCTGCAGCCCAGCCACCGGGTTGGCCATGTCTCCCCGCACTCGGTACACTGTTGTCCCCCCCCGAGTCCTGCTGCTCCGTGCCCGGCCAGCTGAGGGGGACAACGGAGGACGGAGAGGGTGAAGAGGGTGAGGGGGGGGAGATTGAGAGGGTTGGGGGGGGTTGGAGGAAGGGAGGGGGGTGGGGAAGATGCAGCGCAGAACCAGGTTGGCCATGTCCCCCCGCACAGAGTAGTACTCTGCCGACTGCCCTGCATCCTGCTGCTCTGCGGGACAGAGAGCAAGGGAGAGCCGTGATAGGTTTTTGCGGATTCTAAAAAACCTACCACATGCCAAGCTCACCACTCACTGCATCTTAAAAGTGGTGGGCGGCGACCCCATGGTGTCTCTGGGGTCTTTCCGCCGGCATCTGGTGCAGGTGGACCGCGCGGAGGGGTCAAACGTGGCGTCGAAGAAAGCCGAGCCTAGCCTCAGCCTTCTGGGCGCCGTGTTACCCTGGAAGGACAGGAGAGACACGGTCAGAGGCAGCAAACCTGCCACCCCTGCTGTTGCTGCTGGTGATGATGGTGATGATGGTGGTGGTGACGTGGCAACTCCAAACTTTGTGACAGCATCAGAAGCCGCAACCGCAGTCCCGTTGCCGCTGTCATGGTTGCCGTTGCTGCCAGCAGCACCAGGCGGCAGAAACCCACTCAAATCCACAGACCCAGCAGCACCCACACCACCTCCTGCCTCCCCACCTGCTGTCCCCCCTCGGTTGATATACACCCCGGCCCCCTCCGCCCCTCCCTCGTTGCGCTTGAACTCGCACCCCCTCAGAGTACCGTGAGCCTGCTCCAGCACCGCCACGCCTGCCCCCGACCCCCCGGCCTTGTTGCCCACAAACGTGGCGCCTGCGACGGTGATGCTGGCGTTGCCCGCCACAAACACCCCGCCTCCCTGCTGCACGGCCCGATTCCTTATGAGTCGCGGCCGACTGGCTTGTGACGAGGAGAGAGTGAGCGTGCTGCCAGCATCGGCAAAGATCGCCCCGCCTCGCCTCGCCCGGTTCCTCTCCATCAGCACCGCCCCCGCCACCGCCACCACCGCCACGTCCGACACGGAGATCGCGCCTCCGTCTCTCGAATCCCCCGCGGCGGCATTCCCCCGGAAGCTGGTGTCTTGGAAGCGGGCGCGCGTCTGCCCCAGCAGCACCACGGCGTGCTGCTCGTTGCGCTCAAACCCCGACCGCCCCGCCACCCACACCGCCACTTCGCCCTCCGCCAGCAGCCCCCCACCCACCAGAGCCCGGTTCTCCACAAACTGCGAGTCTGAAACCGAGAGGTTGGACTGGTGGATGCAGTAGACGCCCCCCCCCTGCACCTTGGCCGTGTTGCCCGCGACAACGGTGCCGGTGATTTGCACCCGGGCGTCCATTTCCGTCCACAGGGCGCCACCGTCCAGGGCGGAGTTGTTGGCAAGGAGGGAGGCGGAGAGGGAGAGGAGCGTCTGCCCTGACATTCGCAGCGCTCCCCCCTCGTTGCCCCCCTCGTTGAATGTGATGTTACACGAGGTGACAGTAGCGGTGGAGAAGTCACCCAGGGAGATGCAGCCTCCCCCGGATGGCGCCTGGTTGTGAGAGCACTCAGAGCGGTGCAATCTGAGCCGTCCAAAGTCTTCTACGATGATCGCACCGCCGCTGCTGGCCGTGCTGTGTAGGAGGCTGCAGTTGACCGCACTGACTGCTGCTTGAGAGGAGAGGGAGAGTGCTCCGCCGGCCAGATCGGCTCGACTGGAGTGGAAATGAAGATGAGAGAGTGCGATTGGGTACAGAGCGGTGGTGCTGGCACGGTCCACTGGGGGATGGGGAGGTGGGAGAGGGACGAGTGGGAGGGCGGAGGGGAGGAGTGGGAGGGGGTGAGACTTGGTACAGAGCGGTGGCACTGGCACGATCCGTTGCGAGATGGGGAAGGGGGAGGGAGGAGTGGGAGGGAGTGGGAGTCGGTATGGAGTGGTCATGCCTGTTAGTGCAGTGGCTCAACCCACTGCGAGATGGGAAAGGGGTGGAGAGAGCTGGGGGGAAGATGAGCGAGGGCTGGGGGGAAAGATGGAGGGAGGGAGAGGGAGGAAGGGGAGGGAGTGGGGGGAAGAGGAGGGAGGGGTGGGGTGGGGAGGAGATGGGGAAGGGCCTCTCCCCTCCCTCCTATCCCCTCCTACTTTTCTCACCTGCTATTGCACCGCCCTTTACTAGGGCGGAGTTGTTAACGAAGCTGGAGTTGTCTATAGCGAGGACGTCTCCTGAGAAGGAGACAGCCCCTCCCTTGGACAGCGGAGCGGAGTTGTTGGCAAAGTGGGAGTCCAAAATACGGACCGCTCCCTTGGTGCCCTGCCCACGGATTGGAAGGGGGGGTGGAGGGGGGGGGTTGGGGGGGAGTTGGGGGAGAGATGGGGGAGAGGGTGGGGGAGAGTTGGGAGAGATGGGAGAGATAGGGGGGGATTTGGGAAAGGGGAAAGTTCCTCTGTTCAAGAGCGCGGCAGGGCCCCCGCACGGCACGGCACGGCAGGGCCTCCTCACTCCCTCATCCTCACTCCCTCCTCCTCTGTACCTCCTTCCTCACTCGTTCCCCCCATGAGCCTCCCTTCTTCCCCACCTGCATCGCACCTCGTGCTCACGCACAGCACCCCTGTCCATTCAACTTCCCCCGTTAAACAGCAGATAACAGGATGAACCTCCTTCCTTCACCCCCCCATTGCTATTCACTTCCCTTTGCATCGAACCTCGTGCACAAGCACAGCACCCCCGCCCATTCAACTTCCCCCGTTAAACAGCAGAGAACAGCATGAACCTCCTTCCTTCACCCCCCCATTGCTATTCACTTCCCTTTCCATCGCACCTCGTGCTCAAGCACAGCACCCCCGCCCATTCAACTTCCCCCGTTAAACAGCAGAGAACAGCACGAACCTCCTTCCTTCACCCCCCCATTGCTATTCACTTCCCTTTGCATCGCACCTCGTGCACAAGCACAGCACCCCTGTCCATTCAAATTCCCCCGTTAAACAGCAGAGAACAGCACGAACCTCCTTCCTTCACCCCCCCATTGCTATTCACTTCCCTTTGCATCGCACCTCGTGCACAAGCACAGCACCCCCGCCCATTCAACTTCCCCCGTTAAACAGCAGAGAACAGCATGAACCTCCTTCCTTCACCCCCCCATTGCTATTCACTTCCCTTTGCATCGCACCTCGTGCTCAAGCACAGCACCCCCGCCCATTCAACTTCCCCCGTTAAACAGCAGAGAACAGCATGAACCTCCTTCCTTCACCCCCCCATTGCTATTCACTTCCCTTTGCATCGCACCTCGTGCTCAAGCACAGCACCCCCGCCCATTCAACTTCCCCCGTTAAACAGCAGAGAACAGCATGAACCTCCTTCCTTCACCCCCCCATTGCTATTCACTTCCCTTTGCATCGCACCTCGTGCACAAGCATAGCACCCCCGCCCCGCCCACCCCGCCCATTCAACTTCCACCGTTAAACAGCAGAGAACAGCATGAACCTCCTTCCTTCACCCCCCCATTGCTATTCACTTCCCTTTGCATCGCACCTCGTGCACAAGCACAGCACCCCCGCCCATTCAACTTCCCCCGTTAAACAGAAGAGAACAGCATGAACCTCCTTCCTTCACCCCCCCATTGCTATTCACTTCCCTTTGCATCGCACCTCGTGCACAAGCACAGCACCCCCGCCCATTCAACTTCCCCCGTTAAACAGCAGAGAACAGCATGAACCTCCTTCCTTCACCCCCCCATTGCTATTCACTTCCCTTTCCATCGCACCTCGTGCTCAAGCACAGCACCCCCGCCCATTCAACTTCCCCCGTTAAACAGCAGAGAACAGCATGAACCTCCTTCCTTCACCCCCCCATTGCTATTCACTTCCCTTTGCATCGCACCTCGTGCTCAAGCACAGCACCCCCGCCCATTCAACTTCCCCCGTTAAACAGCAGAGAACAGCATGAACCTCCTTCCTTCACCCCCCCATTGCTATTCACTTCCCTTTGCATCGCACCTCGTGCTCAAGCACAGCACCCCCGCCCATTCAACTTCCACCGTTAAACAGCAGAGAACAGCATGAACCTCCTTCCTTCACCCCCCCATTGCTATTCACTTCCCTTTGCATCGCACCTCGTGCACAAGCACAGCACCCCCGCCCATTCAACTTCCCCCGTTAAACAGAAGAGTACAGCATGAACCTCCTTCCTTCACCCCCCCATTGCTATTCACTTCCCTTTGCATCGCACCTCGTGCACAAGCACAGCACCCCCGCCCATTCAACTTCCCCCGTTAAACAGCAGAGAACAGCATGAACCTCCTTCCTTCACCCCCCCATTGCTATTCACTTCCCTTTGCATCGCACCTCGTGCACAAGCACAGCACCCCCGCCCATTCAACTCCCCCCGTTAAACAGCAGAGAACAGCATGAACCTCCTTCCTTCACCCCCCCATTGCTATTCACTTCCCTTTCCATCGCACCTCGTGCTCAAGCACAGCACCCCCGCCCATTCAACTTCCCCCGTTAAACAGCAGAGAACAGCACGAACCTCCTTCCTTCACCCCCCCATTGCTATTCACTTCCCTTTGCATCGCACCTCGTGCACAAGCACAGCACCCCCGCCCATTCAACTTCCCCCGTTAAACAGAAGAGAACAGCATGAACCTCCTTCCTTCACCCCCCCATTGCTATTCACTTCCCTTTGCATCGCACCTCGTGCACAAGCACAGCACCCCCGCCCATTCAACTTCCCCCGTTAAACAGAAGAGTACAGCATGAACCTCCTTCCTTCACCCCCCCATTGCTATTCACTTCCCTTTGCATCGCACCTCGTGCACAAGCACAGCACCCCCGCCCATTCAACTTCCCCCGTTAAACAGCAGAGAACAGCATGAACCTCCTTCCTTCACCCCCCCATTGCTATTCACTTCCCTTTGCATCGCACCTCGTGCACAAGCACAGCACCCCCGCCCATTCAACTTCCCCCGTTAAACAGAAGAGAACAGCATGAACCTCCTTCCTTCACCCCCCCATTGCTATTCACTTCCCTTTGCATCGCACCTCGTGCACAAGCACAGCACCCCCGCCCATTCAACTTCCCCCGTTAAACAGCAGAGAACAGCATGAACCTCCTTCCTTCACCCCCCCATTGCTATTCACTTCCCTTTGCATCGCACCTCGTGCTCAAGCACAGCACCCCCGCCCATTCAACTTCCCCCGTTAAACAGCAGAGAACAGCATGAACCTCCTTCCTTCACCCCCCCATTGCTATTCACTTCCCTTTGCATCGCACCTCGTGCACAAGCACAGCACCCCCGCCCATTCAACTCCCCCCGTTAAACAGCAGAGAACAGCATGAACCTCCTTCCTTCACCCCCCATTGCTATTCACTTCCCTTTCCATCGCACCTCGTGCACAAGCACAGCACCCCCGCCCATTCAACTTCCCCCGTTAAACAGAAGAGTACAGCATGAACCTCCTTCCTTCACCCCCCCATTGCTATTCACTTCCCTTTGCATCGCACCTCGTGCTCAAGCACAGCACCCCCGCCCATTCAACTTCCCCCGTTAAACAGCAGAGAACAGCATGAACCTCCTTCCTTCACCCCCCCATTGCTATTCACTTCCCTTTGCATCGCACCTCGTGCTCAAGCACAGCACCCCCGCCCATTCAACTTCCACCGTTAAACAGCAGAGAACAGCATGAACCTCCTTCCTTCACCCCCCCATTGCTATTCACTTCCCTTTGCATCGCACCTCGTGCACAAGCACAGCACCCCCGCCCATTCAACTTCCCCCGTTAAACAGAAGAGTACAGCATGAACCTCCTTCCTTCACCCCCCCATTGCTATTCACTTCCCTTTGCATCGCACCTCGTGCACAAGCACAGCACCCCCGCCCATTCAACTTCCCCCGTTAAACAGCAGAGAACAGCATGAACCTCCTTCCTTCACCCCCCCATTGCTATTCACTTCCCTTTGCATCGCACCTCGTGCACAAGCACAGCACCCCCGCCCATTCAACTCCCCCCGTTAAACAGCAGAGAACAGCATGAACCTCCTTCCTTCACCCCCCCATTGCTATTCACTTCCCTTTCCATCGCACCTCGTGCTCAAGCACAGCACCCCCGCCCATTCAACTTCCCCCGTTAAACAGCAGAGAACAGCACGAACCTCCTTCCTTCACCCCCCCATTGCTATTCACTTCCCTTTGCATCGCACCTCGTGCACAAGCACAGCACCCCCGCCCATTCAACTTCCCCCGTTAAACAGAAGAGAACAGCATGAACCTCCTTCCTTCACCCCCCCATTGCTATTCACTTCCCTTTGCATCGCACCTCGTGCACAAGCACAGCACCCCCGCCCATTCAACTTCCCCCGTTAAACAGAAGAGTACAGCATGAACCTCCTTCCTTCACCCCCCATTGCTATTCACTTCCCTTTGCATCGCACCTCGTGCACAAGCACAGCACCCCCGCCCATTCAACTTCCCCCGTTAAACAGCAGAGAACAGCATGAACCTCCTTCCTTCACCCCCCCATTGCTATTCACTTCCCTTTGCATCGCACCTCGTGCACAAGCACAGCACCCCCGCCCATTCAACTTCCCCCGTTAAACAGAAGAGAACAGCATGAACCTCCTTCCTTCACCCCCCCATTGCTATTCACTTCCCTTTGCATCGCACCTCGTGCACAAGCACAGCACCCCCGCCCATTCAACTTCCCCCGTTAAACAGCAGAGAACAGCATGAACCTCCTTCCTTCACCCCCCCATTGCTATTCACTTCCCTTTGCATCGCACCTCGTGCTCAAGCACAGCACCCCCGCCCATTCAACTTCCCCCGTTAAACAGCAGAGAACAGCATGAACCTCCTTCCTTCACCCCCCCATTGCTATTCACTTCCCTTTGCATCGCACCTCGTGCACAAGCATAGCACCCCCGCCCCGCCCACCCCGCCCATTCAACTTCCACCGTTAAACAGCAGAGAACAGCATGAACCTCCTTCCTTCACCCCCCCATTGCTATTCATTTCCCTTTGCATCGCACCTCGTGCGCAGACACCACGCCCCCGCCCTCCTACATGCCGCCCCCCTGCGCTCTCCTACATGCCAACCAACCCGCATTGCATCGCACCTCATTCACAAACACCGCGCCCCCGTCCCTTGAGTGCGCAACGTTGTTGACAAAAACAGTGCGAGTGATGGTGGTGCTGCTCTCGCCCCCATCCAAGGCTACAAGCTACCGCCCCCCCAATGACGTTTGAGTCAACTCAAAAGTTCCCCCCCCACCGCACCCCACCGCACCCCACCGCACCTGGTTCACAAACACCGCGCCCCCGTCCCCTGAGTTCGCAACGTTGTTGACAAAGACAGTGCGAGTGATGGTGATGCTCCTATCGCCCCCATCCACTGCTAGCGCCCCCCCGTTGAGCTGCACTGAGTTGCCGTCAAACTCACAGTCCTCCAGCGTACCGCCCCGGCCACTCACAAAGAGCACTGGGGGAGGGGATGGGGGGCAGGCAGGCAGGAAAGAGCTGACTCAAAAGTCAAGAGCACTGGGGCAAGGGGATGGATGGGCGGCAGGCAGGCAGGAGAGAGGTTTGATGAGACCGTTGCACGCCCAACCACCCCATGACTACCACCCCCCCAATGTGCTGCACTGAGTTGCCGTCAAACTCAGTGTCCTCCACTGTACCGCCATGGCCACCTAGAAAGAGCAAACAGGAGAGAGTCGACTCAAAAGTCAAGAGCACTGGGGGAAGGGGATGGGTGGGGGGCAGGCAGGAGAGAGGTTCGATGAGATCCATACTCGGCCTTTGTTCTTCCGTTCTGCATGGCTATCTCCGTGCGCTGCACAGCACAGGGAGATAGCCTGAGAAGGGCATTACTGGCAAGTCAAGTTCGAGTTTTCATGTAACCGACACTTAGCTAACAAACTCGATTCTGCAGCAAAGCAACGTCTCCACCACCAGATAGTGATGCTCCGTGGCTGTCAACCTGCCCCCCCTCTCTCCATTTGCAGCACTCAGTTGCCGTGAAACTCAATGCCAGCAGATGTTCGGACATATCTCCCCCCACTGAGCGCGGTGTCGGAAGCAGGTTTAATAAACACAAGTAGGAAAAAAACAGTTGTAGAGCTCGAGCTTATGTAACTGAAAGTTTGGAAAATTGGGGAACTCTTCTCTTTTTAAGGATTCTCAAAAGCAAAACACCTCTTAACAGCGAGAGAAACACGAGACAATCCCCCAATTTCCCTTTTTACTCAAGTGGTGCTCCTTAGCTGTCATGCTGCCCTCTCTCCCATCCCATTTGCTGCACTGAGTTGCCGTGAGACTCCCTGTCCTCCACTGTCGCACTACGGAAGAAGAACATTGGTGGATGGTACCTCAGTCGACTCAAAAGTTACATGACCTGCCACCCAAGGCCACATACCTGCGAGGTGACTTTTGAGTCGACTCAAAGGGTACCTGACATGCCACCCAATGCCACATACCTGCACCGGCCATCCGGAAAGAGGCCGTGTTGCCGAGGAATCTCGACCTCCTGATTACAACAACAGAATCGAAGGCGGCAGCCCCGCCAGCCATGGCGCGGTTGCCCTCAAACACACAGTCCTCCAGCACCAGGGACACCGGTTCACCCCCAACCCGAAGCCCCCATGAATGCACCAACGCCCCTCCCTCGCTCGCACCAGACTCAACACTTGATGTAGCCTCGTTCCCCACAAACGAGCAGTTGGCAATCACCCCAGGGCAGTCTGTCAGAGTCACTGCCCCGCCGAAGGTCACTATGGGGGAATCTGCCGAGTTGTTGAAGAACCAGGAGCCCCGGATGGTGATGTTGGAACGTAGTGCATCGATCGCTGCCCCTCCCCCGACCGATGGGTTCGTCGCGCGGTTACCGCGAAACGAGCTGGCGGTAACCGTGAGGTTGCCGACCCTGACCGCCAGGATCCCTCCCCCGCCCACGGTCCCCAACCCGTTGGTGAAGTGGGAGAGGGAGATGGTGAGGGTGGCGGTGCGGTTGGCGTGAATGGCAGCCGCCCGCTGGGAGTTTAAGAATGGGTCTATAAGAGGGTTGTTGGCGACGCAGGAGAGGAAGGAGGAGGAGGAGACGGTGAGGGAGGGAGAGGCGTTGTCTACCATGCACCCACCCGTTGTGGCCTGAGGGAGGGAGGGAGGGAGCGAGGGACGGACGGAGAGACGGACGGCAGGGAGGGACGGACGGCAGGGAGGGACGAACGGCAGGGAGGGACGGACGGCAGGGAGGGACGGACGGCAGGGAGGGACGGACGGCAGGGAGGGACGGACGGCAGGGAGGGACGGACGGCAGGGAGGGACGGCAGGGAGCAGGGACGGAGTGTGGGAAGAAGTGAGAGTGGGCAGGAGGAAGTGAGAGTGGACAGGAGGAAGTGAGAGTGGACAGGAGGAAGCGAGAGTGGGCAGGAGGAAGTGAGAGTGGGCAGGAGGAAGTGAGAGTGGACAGGAGGAAGTGAGAGTGGACAGGAGGAAGCGAGAGTGGGCAGGAGGAAGTGAGAGTGGGCAGGAGGAAGTGAGAGTGGGCAGGAGGAAGTGAGAGTGGGCAGGAGGAAGTGAGAGTGGGCAGGAGGAAGTGAGACTGGGCAGGAGGGAGTGAGGGTGGGCAGGAGGAAGTGAGGGTGGGCAGGAGGAAGTGAGGAGGAGGGAAGGGAGTGCGGCGTGTGACAACCCTCCCATCCGCTCAACACCCTTTGCCATACATACACCCCACCCCCCCCTCCCTCCCATCCGCACCCGCACCTGCACCCGCACCAACCTGACTGTTGGAGAACCGAACCCCGTCGATGCGCCTGGTGCTCACAATGGTGGACAAACCACCCCCCGATTTGTCAGCAGCGCAGCAGGCGAAGCCCACCAGCGTCCCCAAACAACCCTCCCATCCACACCCACACTGACCAACCTGACTGTTGGAGAACTGAACCCCGTCGATGCGCCCGGTGCACCTGGCAGTCGACAAACCGCCCCCCGATTTGTCAGCAGAGCAGCGGTCGAAGCCCCCTCCCCGCACCTCCAACCCACCCCCCTCACAGAAGACACCTCCCCCAGTACTGGCCTTCGCCACACACCCTTCGAACCAGCAATCAGTCACACTCGCTGCAGTCACGTTTCGTAAAGCCACACCCCCACCGCCTCCTATTCGAGAGAAAACAGATGAGGTGCTGACATGGACGCGTGAGAGCGAGACACGTGGCGCGTTGGAGACGGAAATCGCCCCGCCGTAGTTGACAGCAGAGCAGCCAGTGAAGGTGCTGTTGCTGACGTGGACGGCCTGGTTCTCGATCAATAGGCAGCCGCCACGTGGCGCTCCTACCTGGCCGTTCTGAACGGCTACTCCTGCAAGGACCAGTTCTGCGGTGCCACATGGCAGCGCAGCGGTGGCTGGAAAGCAGACGGCTGAGAGACACGCTCCCCCCGTGCAGTCAATGGTCGGAACGGCGGGAGGAGGAGAAGAAGCAGGGAGAGCAGAAAGAAGTGCAGGGGGGGAGGAGGGGGTGGTAGAAGGAGGAGGAGCAGCGAGGATTGAGATGGATCGGCCGCCCAGAGACAGGCCAGCAGAGGGAGGGCGATGGGTGCCCGGTGAGAGCAGGAGGGAGCCGCCTGATGGGGGCAGCCTGGGGGAGATGGGGGATGGGGATGGGGGATGGGGGAAAGAGAAAGGAAGAGTGGGGACGAAGAAGAGCGTGTGGCGGCGCGGATCGCACTACCCCCCTGTCAACTCTATCTTTATTGGTTGGAGACAGGGCGACGAGAAGGTGGGTAGAGGCGTTGAGTTTAGGGTTATGGCGGGAAGCAAGGTGGGGAGAGATGGGCGACGGTGAGGAGCGATGGGCAATGGTGCGGAGAGATGGGCAATGGTGAGGAGGGATGGGCAATGTGAGGAGAGATGGGCAATGTTAGGAGAGATGGGCAATGTGAGGAGAGATGGGCAATGTGAGGAGAGATGGGCAATGTGAGGAGAGATGGGAAATGGTGAGGAGAGGAAAGGAGTGCAGCTAAGGGATTGAGCTGATAGGGTGAGCACGATTCGAGATACAGTAGTGATGATATACTCACATTGAGAGGCCTAGCTCCAATGATCCTGGTGGTGGTGCATGGAGAGACAGGCAGCACGAGATGGCAGCACATGGCATCACATGGCATGGCATGGCATGGCATGGCATGGCATGGCATGGCATGAGATGGGGTGACACATGACATGTTTGATCATCCCATACATGGTGACACAGCACAGCAGCACACAGACACACCAGGAGGACCACATGAGAGGGAAGCAATGGCGTCTGTCACAGAGGGGTGGGTCGTTGGAAAGAAAGCAATATGTGAATGAGAAGGGCTCCTTCAGAAGGAAGACAGTCTGACAGCGCAAACGAAGAAACAGGAGAATGAGACAGGCGCAGTGACCCGGCATGGTGAGCACAAGAACGAGAAGCTGTTGAGTCGACTCAAAAGCAGACCCGGCATGGTGGGCACAGGAACGAGAAGCAGGGAAGGGGGAGAGGAGAGGAGGAAGAGCGTGTGTAGGCGCGTGATGGTTCAGTAGGGAAGGCGAGAGGGAAAGCGAAGCATTGCGGTAAGAAAAATAAGGGGGGAAGGAAGAAGAGGAGAGCGTGGAAGAAGGAGAGAGGGATACCACTAGTGTGGGTGCATGTCACATGCATGGTGGGCGGCGGTAGTGGGGAGCATGTGACATGGATGGTGCGTGCGGGGGTATGCACATACCACATGGGGTGTTAGCACCGCCGCAGCAACCTGACGTCTGCCCATCCACATGCACATGCACCTGGTCCAAAGCGGGACAGCCTGACAGGGGAAGGGGAGGAGAGGGTGAGGAGAAAACGGATGCTGAGGTAACCTGACGTCTGCCCATCCACATGCACGTGCACCTGGTCCAGCACCGGACAGCCTGAATGAGGGGGGCGGGGGTGAAGGGGAAGAGGGAGATAAAGTGCATGGGCCAACAACAACCCGACGTCTGGCCATCCCACGCCCGTGCACCTGACCCAATGGGGGACCGCCTGACAGGAAGGGTGGCGCCTGAGTCGAGGGGGGGGGAGAGAGGGGGGGAGGGGTGGGGAAGATTGGGGAAGAGTGCACGAGACAGCATGACGTCTGGCCATCCACTAGAGGGGATGCAGTCCACTTGAGGGGATGCAGTCCACTTGAGGGGATGCAGTAGGGAGGCAAGTCTACTTGACTAAGGCGGGGACAGGGGAAGGGGAGCGGACAGCCCTCCTTGATCTAGTATGGGACGTACAGCCGGAGAAAAAGTTGGGAAGAGGGGGAAGAGGGGGAGTGGGGGGGAAGGAGAGAGGGTAAGGGGGAGGGGAGGGGGGGGGGGGGGGGGAGGGGGGAGAGGAAGGAGGGAGTTGAGAAGGGAAGAAGGTGCAGCGGGGCTCGCAAAAGGTTGAATTCGGGTTGTGTGAAGGTGTGGGGTAAGGAGAGAAAGTGAAAGAGAGGGGTCCCCAAGCCACCAACCTCCTTCCCCAACTTCCCATCATCACACCACTTCCCCATCCTCCCTCTCCCTCCCATTCCACCTCTCTCTAACTCACTCCTCCTCCTTGCCTTCCATCCACCATTTCCCAGCCCCCCTCTCCCCTACCTTCTATCAGTCTCCTATTCTCCGCCTCTTTCTTACCACCGAGTACCGCAAAGCACGGTGCGATCGGCGCTGCGCAGAGCAGGGCGATCAGCATCATCGTGACCCCCGGGCCTGGGCCGCCGACAGACACACCGTCTGCCACGGAATGACGATGCTGCTGCCGGCCGCCGGCACACACACGGGCGTCCGCGGAATGGCGAGGCTGCTGCTGCTGCCGGAGGCCGGCTTCATGGGCCCCGGCGGAGCTTGTCATCCGTCCGGCGGGCAGATCCTCGTTTTAGGCTCAGCCTTTAACTGCCGTATTATTCCAAATTCAAAACAGGCCTAAGTGATGCCTTTGAGAACTCTCAAAACGATTACTTTCCCGGATTTCGCGTGAGGCGACTGAACCTGAAGGAGATTTTGTTTAGGGTTAGACCTGAGGGCTCTTTTGTCCGTAGACTCAATGGATCGTTGAAAGAGCCTTTCTGACGGCGGAAAAGCTGCAATGCGGTGGAAGGGGATTAGCCAAAGCATTGTTGAGCAGAAAAGTGGCATTCTTGGGGAGGCTGTAGTAGCAGCAGGGGAGCTGTGCTGTGCTGTACAGTTGAATGAGGGGTATGGGATGGGAGGTGTGCTGTGCTGTAACAGGGCCAGAGTTCTGCCGTGGAGTATGGTCCTTAGGACTTGGGTTTGGGGTTGAGTGGGGGGGTGCACCAGCCTCTGTCTGCGTGGTGAGCTGAACGGAACCTAGCGCAAATTGCTGGCCAAGTTCAGCTTGACCAGAAAGTACTCGCAAAAACTTACAAATGACTCACTAAATTCATGTGATCGCACAGCACGTCGCAACCCAGCCAGCGAGCGTCGCCAAGCGCACGACGCGACGAAGGAGTTACTGTAGCTGGATGGTTCCAGCTGAGGTGCAAAAAGACAGCGAACGTCGGGGGAAGAGACGAACAAAACGGCGGTTTCGCAACTGTAACCAAAACGTAAGGGGCGGGCGGGCGGGAGGGGGGAGGAGGAGGTGGACTAGGGGACGGGCAGAGGGCGGAAGGAGCTGACCGCACGTTGACTCACGATTCCACAAAACAAACACCGACCCTCGTTAATGAGTACCCCTGTTGCCCGAGGCAGTCACGTCTCGGTTCACACACAAAAGCTTCCCGCATCACTTCTGTTTCTAGCACGGGCAACCGCACCCCGTTTTGAAGCACATGGTGTGCACTGTTTCCACTCAAGACAACGGCAGTTATGGAGCTTGCCTACCGCGACAAACCCCATTTGCCCATCCAACCTCGCCTCAAACCACTTCGCCAGGAGCTTGTACGAAGTTGGGCATGAACGTCGGCGGAGTCGCAACGAACCCACGGGCTGGTTTGTGGGCTGTGTTACCCTGCTTTATGATTCTGACCACTATCGGGAAATTCGTAATTACGTGCAAGACATCGCAAAAAATCAAGGGTGTACCGGCTGTTGATAATCGAGCAAATGCAGCCCCCCCTTCTGCCATCCTACCATCCCGCGTATGACAAAGAGGGTAACCCAAGAGCAACACTTACAGTCCCACCTGCCCGTCGCGAGGTCTGTGAAATGAAAGTCGCGTTTTAAGTCTCTGCCGCCTAGAAAAATTGAGTGACTGAATCGGGCAACAAGGGTACACCACCATCACTGGCGATTGGTTCGAATAAGTGTACACCACCACTGGTGCCAGCCGGACTGGCCTATCCTGTACAGTCCATGATCAGCCACAAGCGACAGGTTTGACTCACGTGAGCTGCGTTGGCTCGCTGTGGCGAGGCCCAGCCAATAGAAAAGCCAAAACTGTAATCTTCGCAAACCTACGCGACTAGAGCTGTTCCGTGTGAATATATTGGAAGCTATATACAGTACAAAAAGGCGCTCAAACCTAACTCTTACTAATCACGGCTCCTCAAGATCACAAGAAGCATCATCGTATTGCTCAAATTCGGCAGCTGAACCCTTGCACTTTCTTTATGACGAGGTGATCTTCAGATAAAGTGTTTTCTTTAATCAGATGCACTTGATGCCGCAATCTCCTCGTATCATTCCTGAGCACAACCGATAGCGCAGATAAGCATAATAAAAAACTGCTAGTTTGTCACACAACTTTTCCTCCATCCTCCTGTCGCTCTTTCCTCTCCTCCCCTCTCCATATCCCCCTCCACCAGCGCCCACCCCAGCACTTCCACTGTGTAAGGGTTGGGCGCAGGGATTGAGGGCAACCTGTCAACTCTAGGTCGTGTGTTGTTTTTTAGAATCATCAGAAACAAAACACATCGTAGGGATTGAGGGCAAGCTGTCAAACTCACCTGAATTTAAGTTTGCCGCTCTGCCAGCAGCTGAGTTGCCTCCAGCACTGCGATCACTCCAGTATACCGTGCACCAGCAACTGGCGCAGCCATCACCACCTCTTGAGGCAGCCAAGGGCGAGCAAGTGAGTGCACACATCCAAATGATTCCAAAGAGTAGGGCTGGCTGCCAGCCGTCAACCCACCGCGTTTGAATTCGTTGCTCCACCACCAAGGTAACTTGCCTCCAGCTCTGAAATCACTCGCACACACCACCCAGCTCCGACTGCCGCAGAAAAGCCCTCGCTCCTGCACTCATGCGCCTCCCGAAGATTCCCTTGATCGCCCTGAAAACAGCTGCATCGCCGCTAATCCTGCACCTCACCCTCCTCCCGCTGCTGCTGCTGCTGCTGCTGCTGCTGCTGCTACTGTTGCCACCGCTGCTGAGCTAGAATGGCCTAGAACCCCCCTCCCCACGCCTGCGGCGTCCAGCACAGGGTCATCGACGGTGGTTTCCACGGCGTGGTGCAGAGACCAGGGGCGGCGCATGGCGGCTGACGAGCAGGACGGCTGCAACGACGACGGCGTGCACATGAAAGGAAGGGAGTGAGAGTAATGTGGGTGCGCACAGAGACAAATGGCTCGAGGAATTAAATGACTGCAAAACCTTAAAAATAAGGGGTTGTAGCAGGTTAGGAGGCAGGCAACTGCAACTAAGTGACTGCAGGGGGGAGAGGAGAAATGCAGGTGGACGGGAAGAGACGGAACGAGAATCTCGGAGGGAGGTATGAGCAACGATACGAGAGACGACTTACGAGTGCGCACAGAGACGGATGGTTCGAGGAATGATTTGACCGCGAGAACTTAGAAGTAAGGTGTTGACACGGGCAAAGAGGCCGGCAGCGATAGGAGAGACGACTTAATGATGAACGATGTGAGCTCGTGTGTTTTTATCTGCAGAACGAAAAGCAGAGGACGAGGAAAGAGGGGGGTGAAGGGGGAGGGTGAGGGTGGGGGGAGGAATTGAAATGGATAACCAGAAGAAGACATGTTCGGGTAAAGCACTGGACCAGAAAAACAAGACACCGGGTAAAGCAGTGAGACACAGTACCAGAAACATGCGAGCACTCGGCGGAAAGAATAAGGAGAAAGGGAATGGGAGTGAGGAATGGGAGTGAGGGAATGGGAGTGAGTGAATATGGAGTATTGAGTGGGTAACCATGTGAGGGCAACCTACCCCTTGCTCCCAAGCCCTGGTGACAACAGCTGACGGCCTCCCTGCACCTTAGAACAAGGCTTGCAATGGAGGTTGGAACGAAGCACCATGGCTGCTAGGGAGGGGGGGGGGGGGGGGGGTTTGGTCGGATGGCGATCAAAAGACGTGCTTGAGAGGGAAAGGGGGGATTTTCAGTATAAACTGGGGGCAAGGGAATGGAAATGCGTGAGGGTACGATGAAAACCCCCCAGCAACGACTGGAGAGCGTCTGCAGGGTGTTTTTGATCATTCTCAAAAACACCCTACGATGAAAACCCCGGAGCAACGACTGGAGAGCACAGAGCCAAGGGAGCAGAAAAGAGGAGAGGGTGGAAGGTGAGAGGGGGGGGGGGGGGAAGGAGAACTGGGGGGGGACGGGCCATGGAAAGGGTGCGAGAGCGAAGCACAGCAACACACAGCGCCGCGATGCACGCACGCAGCAGCTGCAAAATAGGATCAAAACAGCTTGAACCGGGCAGCGGGCAGCGGGCAGCAGGCAGTAGGGAGCAGGCAGCGGGCAGCGGGCAGCGGGAAGCGGGCAGCGGGAAGCGAGCAGTGGGCAGCGGGCAGCGGAAAGCGGGCAGCGGGCAGCTGGCAGCGGGAAGCGGGAAGCGGGAAGCGGGAAGCGGGCAGCGGGCAGCGGGCAGCGGGCAGCGGGCAGCGGGAAGCGGAAAGCGGGGCAGCGGGCAGCGGGCAGCGGAAAGCGGGCAGCGGGAAGCGGGAAGCGGGGAGCGGGAAGCGGGCAGCGGGCAGCGGGCAGCGGGCAGCCGGCAGCGGGCAGCGGGAAGCGGGCAGCGGGAAGCGGGCAGCGGGCAGCGGTGAGTGGAGCGGAAAGCGGACGCGGACTTACGTACCTGCAGATTGTGTAACAGTCCAATCTGACAACGATACGCTCGACGGCTTGGAGGACGATTCGTAAGTCAGATCTGACGAAGATACGATTTTCAGCTCGGAGCAAAATCCGTAAGCCAGATTTGACTAAGAGATACGCTCTACGGTTGGAGATAGATCTGCAGCTACAAGCTTCGATATACGATCTTAGAGACACGACGACTAGGTGAAGGAATACTACGGCACGCTAAGAGCTGATACTAAGGCACTCTACGAGCAGATACTAAGGCACGCTAAGAGCTAAGAGCAGACACGCTAAGAGCTATGGGCACGCTAAGAGCTAAGAGCCTTAGCTAAGAGCTGCTGTTATCGAGGGTGCTGCTGTATTGAGGGCAAATGGAGTTGGTATGTGTCGGGCATGGGTGGGAGCGGGACTTGAAGGGTGCACAGGGGTCTAGGGAGGGAGGGAGGGATGCGCGACGTGGCGGGATACTGTAGTTGCCAGGCGCAGATGTTCTATGCGCAGGTGCTTTCCAGAAACACTCCGCACGGTGTTTGCGCTGGAGTTCCCCCTGAGACTACGGTGCGAGGACATTCCATACGCGGATAAGGTGAATTTGTTTTTGGAGCACAGGCCTGAAGCGGCGAACACAAAACTGTAAGGGATTACTGCTTTTAGAGATAGGTCGATGTCTCCTTTCAATCATTGGATACAATCAACCAAGGCGTATTCCCTATACGATTTACATTAATCTGGCCCATGACACACCAGATTCATGCTACGTGCTAGACAAACTGTAGTCTGGTATTGTTGGTTTTTGCCTTTTTTTAATAGAGTTTCTACTGGTTTATTATGTTTATCATGCTAGTGCCTTCGGTTGGCTTGGCATCAAATGAAGTGATACAGGCAAAATATGATGTCTAATATCGTAACATGCCACAGGTGCGCGAGGGGGGCAGTTTATAACTAAGGCCCTAAAGAGCTACATCATATGCAACAACTGGCACGAGCAAGCCAATATGCATCTTTCCCTATATACAGCCCCTGGGTGGTGGTGTCAGGGGTCTCCTCTGCGTCCCCATTGACCCTTCCACTCTCCTGCACTCCCCACCCTCAGCTCCCCCCTTGCCCTCCCCTTCCTCATAGCCATTGTATCCTCCCTCCTAGCTTGGTCACCCGGTTGCCCCTC